GACATATTTATGAAGATCACGTCGCACCCATAATAACCATGCAGCTGTTTCGAGAGATGTGTTCGGAAAGCTGGCGAAACCCGTATGGGTTTATGGTGATAAATAAGGATGCCGATGTGCAAAACGGTCGTTTCAGGAAAGGCTTCGATCACTATATAATACCGTGAAAACATGTTTATTGTTCAGTTCAACTGTAACGGCTTTAACAGCTTTAACAGCTCTAACAGCTCTAACAGCTTACAGTTTTAACAGCTGAACAGCTTTAACATCTGAACAGCTTTACGAACAGCTGAACAGCTTTAACGAACATCTGAACGGCTTTACGAACAGCTGAACAGCTTTAACGAACAGCTGAACAGCTTTAACAGCTGAACAGCTTAACAGCTTTATTGGGGAACAGACCCTGTTCCAGTTGATCTGTTCATTTCATATCGGTTTACCTGTTCCGTTGATCATGGATAATAAGGAGATGGCCTTGAAACGAAGAATAGTTCAGGCGCGTAAAGCGATACAGCAAAAGTACAATCGTCTCAAAGCGGATCGTTTTATTAAAGAAGTGGAATTTGTACGAACGTATAAACCGCTAATTCAACCGCTAGCTCAGATCGTAAAGAAAATCGAACCGCCATCATCGGTTATAGAAACGAAAAAGGAGGAGCCATCAGAGGACGAAGTATTTACATCACCCCCTAAAAAACGTCAATCTCCTGTAAAAAGAAAGTCACCACAACAACGTACGACTCCTGCGATACCTTATTACTCGCGAATGAGACGAAGGCCCTCTTCCCTTACCGAGATCAGTCCGCTGGCTAGACTTCCCTACTTTCAAAAATATCCGCCAACTGATATTAGTCCTATGGTTAGACCTTTTCACCCCACGGCTACTCCATCATTGAGACAGCCGCCATCATTTCTACAGAGTACAGTGATAGGAGAGCATCAACCGGAGGAAGAAGAAGACGAGTCCTCTATTGCATCAGAATCATCTGCTTCATTACTTGATATGCAAGGTTCGCAAGCCTTTTTGGAACAATACAAACACCTACCACGTATATACGTTGAGCGCATGATAAGAGATACGAGTAATGCAATTGACACCACCTTTGGAATTCATTATAATGTCGAAACGGATAAGTGGAGAATGGGCAAGACTGAGGTGACGATAGATGACGAAGATTTGGTCATTAACGGGAACCGGTACAAAGGTACTGCGGGGCTATACGAACTTATCATCATGAATGAACCGGATGAATCGCTAGTATCCAAGCAGGATAGAAGTAACTATAAGCAGATAATAATAGCAACTCATGTCGCACGGCGCAATTACGACCCCACAGAACAGATTCGTGGCAATAAGAGCAAAAAGTATACGCTTATAATAAAGCCTCTACTAAAGGAGGAGGAAGCGGCGAATAGGGGGCGTGCGAAATCGGGAAGCGGTATTACTCTATTCAAGGAACTCGACCGGCCGATCGAATTCAAATACTGGAATAGCGTGCATGAATTGATTAGAGACCTAGAGGTTTTATGGGGTGAAAAAATGGCAGGCAACACAGGAGTAAAAAATGATATAATATCAATCGTGGAAGAGCTGTACGAGGAGGGTTACATACAAAAGCCCACGCAGCGATTTTTACGTCAACTAGTATAAATACCCCATTTCCGTCTTCCCCGCCTACATTCATCATGGATAAATTCGGACGTTCTCATACCCATGCTCAATTTGGAAAATTGCTAAAGACAAAATTTTCCATTACCGACGATACTATAAATGTGGAACGTAAGAGACTAAGTAATGTTGAGGATCCTATTGAACGTCATGATGCTCTAACCTTACAACATTACCTATCAACAAGACTGGATCTCAATGGAAATCGTTTGATGAATGTGGCCGATCCAGTAGACGATGGCGATGCCATAAATAGAGGATACTTCATGTATTACATGCAGATTGCGAAAGTACCTGTAGACGGTCTTCGTAATTACGTGGAGGCACTAGAGGAAGAGTTGAAGGCGGTCAAAGCAACCCTACATAAACTAATAGAGGATGCAGCAAGTGGTAAATGAGCTACATAAAGCAGCACGAAAAAACTTCCCACGTAGACGTACCATCATTAAGGGATTTGATGATCTTTGGCAAGCCGATTTGGCCGAATTTATACCTTACGCTAAACAGAATAAAGGCTACAAATACATACTGGTAGTTATCGATTGTTTCTCAAAATATCTGTGGACGAGAGGACTGAAGACTAAAACGGGTGAGGAGGTGACAAAAGCCATACAGGCTATTTTCAAAACTACCAGACGTAGACCGAAAAATCTACAGACCGATGCGGGGAAGGAATTCTACAACAAATCATTTGACAAACTGATGGCGCGAGAACAGATTAATCACTATTCCACGTACAGTACAAAAAAGGCTGCCATAGCCGAAAGAACAATTAGGACGATCAAAAATTATTTATACCGACAGTTTAGTCTAAGTGGAAAATATGTATGGATTGATGCAATTGAATCAATCACGAGCGAGTATAATAATCGTAAACATCGAACAACGGGGATGAAGCCGATCGAAGTAAAGGCCGATACACAGCTGAAGGCTTACAGCCACATCAAGCTCTTCAACAAGAGACATCGTTTTAATGTTGGCGATGTAGTTCGAATTAGTAAGCACAAGAGTGTGTTAGCCAAGGGATATACTCCGAACTGGTCCAGTGAACTGTTTAAAATTGCAAAAGTGCAAATAACCAATCCGGTGACGTACTTGCTGGAAGACATGAAAGGAAAGCCGATATTGGGAGGCTTTTATGAGCAGGAACTGCAAAAAGCTAAATATTCCGATATCTATTTGGTGGAGAAGGTGCTGCGACGTAAGAAAGATAAAGTGTACGTCAAGTGGTGGGGACTGGACGAAAAATCTTGGATAGAAAATGATAATATCGTATTGTAATTTTCGCTGTAAATTAATAAATAAAGAAAACAAAAGCTTTTTTGATCTTTTTTTATTTTTCCTTCCAATTACCATACAACATATTTTTCATTTTTTCTAGTAAAGCTATCGTTATTGACAATTTTTTTAAGAATATCGTACGTTTTCTGGTAATCGTTCAGCAGCGTCGAGGGCCATACGCTGCTATCTGGCCCACACCTCCAACCCAGTAGAGCGTTAGGATCTTGTGTACCGGTTCTTATATTTTTCAATAGCCACTCGTAGATTTTCCGATGGCGAGCATCTTGCCGTGGACTAAAATTATACCTAACATTCGACTCTTGGCAAACATCAATAAATATTTGCAGCGCATTAAAGTTTGCGTATTCTGCCGCTGTGCATATAGCATCGTTAATGACATACGAACTATCTTTATACATACTACTACTAAATACATTATTTACACTATTTGCTCTTAAATCTGCTATAAAAGTTGTAAAATACAATGGTACACTAGGAGCATGAGCGTCAGCAAAACGATCACCGTTTACACGGGAATAATGGTTCATTAAATTATCCAACTCAATCTTTTTATGAAATAGTAATTTAACCATTTCCTTGCACACATTTTTTGATATTGCGCACCAGTTAAAACACTCATCCGGAATAACAATGCGCTGTAAAATGTTGTTAATGAAGAAGTAAGTCTCGATAGAGAACGAAGTGGTGTTTAATATAGCGCACTTTAAATGTCCGAAGTATATTGCGTGCGAAGCACGAAAAATGTCTTGTTCCAATTTTCGATCATTACTTTCCATGCTACTATTACTGCTACTACTGCTGTTGCTCGTCATCACACACACACGCACACACCTAAATTAACAGAAAAAGAAAATTATAACACAAGGTGAAAGAGGGTTGTGGAATATTGATACAATTAAGTGAGAGAGTTATATCCCCAAGGACGAGTGTTAATACAATCGGGATCAATTTGTCGTTTATCGTCATGTGGGCTTAAAACAATCTTGTTCTGTTCAATGGTGAATACTGCATGTTTTTGCGATTTTATTAGATGCTGAGACCGTTTCAAGATTGCATCGTTAAACAAACAGTTTTTGTAGTCCTCTAAAGTCAGTTCACGGATACTGGCGAAAGTTGCACCTTTTGATTTTTTCAATACTTTACCGTCTACATAATAAGCATACATTTTTGCCCTTAGCCCTACGAACTCTAACATTATTTTACCATTGTTCTCGTCTTTCATCAGACCGGGAACTTTTTTGTTAACCAGGGGTATGCCAAAAGCGTTATTAGGACTATAAGCCGAAGTATCAAATCGAGCAATGTTTTCTCTTATCGACTGATAAATGTCGGAAACTGCGAATGAGTATATCAAGCTATCAGTGTCGGTGTATAAGAGTTTTGCGCGATTTTTGAATTCCCTTAAAACAAAATTGTAGTGAAAATCGTAAAGAAACGTTTTTGAAACGTCTAAAACTGCTAAACCGGCATAAATAGGTTTATTGAGCAGCACTTCTAAACGGTTCATTTCTATAATGGCTATGTCCTCATTATCGCCGAAAAGAGTGCAACTGTTAAAGTTCGGCTTCGATATATACGCCCCAGCGCCGTACCGTCCTTCCCATGTCGTTACCAAATGCACATCTTTATATTTCCTTACATTTTCCATTAGTTTTCCATATACACTGTTTACCATTAGCTTGTAAAAGTGTATCTCAAATTCATTACTAGATTCTTGCCGCTTTTGCGTATTTAAATCGATATACTTTTTTAACCAAGGCGATTGTCGAAATTTTAATACGCGATTAATTTTGACGAGTTCTAATCCCTGCTTTATGTACAGTTTCAAATTTCTATAATGCAACACATAGTTCTGTTTCGAATACAATGTTAGCATTAATTTCTTAAAATTAGAATGAGGAGGGTTTCTGTGCTCTGGTGCCAGAGGAAGATCATTATGCAATTGATGGAGATTGGGCGGATAATTTAAGTCGCAATCCAAAATGTAACCGATTTCTGCATCATCAGGGTGGTTCAATATATCTAACGTTTCAAAAGCATCGTCATCTACAAAGGAAAACTCCCCGTAGGGCAAAAATTCACACATTGTGGCACCATACAGGGAATTGACATCAAAATACATCAAGTAGATCGATTCAAGATCTGGACGATAGTCATCTTTCATGTATGTATTGTTAGCCTTCGCGTATCTAGTGGAACATTGAGTGATACCACCTCGAATACCCTTCTCAATGAACATAACTTGATCAATATTTGTTAGAAGTTCTAATTTAATCTCGGTAATTTTGAGCATGGCATCGAATGCGAGACCAGGTGCCGTGTAATAATGCAAGAGATCCAGTTTATAAGTTTGTAGACAAGTTTCACGAAAATTTTCAAATATATCCGCTAAAAGTAGCACGTCTGTTTTCAAATACAAATCCGAAAATTGACCGAGAGTTTGAATCGAAAACAAGTTCCATACTTTTAAAGCATGATCATAATCTTCGTCGGTGATGCCTTCGTTACGCAATGAACTAAAAAAATTATCTTTTGGCGGTAACTGAGTTTCGTTTAATTTTTCCCAAGAGTCTACGTATTCGTAGGGAAAAACACCCTTTCGTATGACCAAATTAAACTCGGACTCGTTGTGACTTTGCGAACGCGTTATCGTTTTTTTATCATTTCCCAAATACGAAGACAATTTTTCTATGCTACTGCTCATAAACCTAAAGGAGTCGATAAATCGAAAATTAACCTTTGTACCCTCTACGTATTTCGTAAAGGAGATATACTTCTCTTTGTTTAAAGGTAAAAGTTTTATTTGTCCAGGCATACCGGTTGCAAGTTCGCGGATGATGAAATGTGAATCGTATCCACTTAGATTATGAAATACCACCGGTATGGCATGATTATCTTGATAGTTTATATTGCATGCCTGATGTGATGCGCCCCTGTATTTGGACGTAAAATGGCAATGATCTCGGCACCGAATTTCGTTTTCGGAAAACGCCTTCTCGCATATGTGGCAATGAGTGGCGCTCTCGAAATCTTGTTGCTGTTTCTCACTCAATCTTTCCATCGGTCGAGGGTTGTTAATAATTGTATTAGTCCACATCGCGATACTTCGTAGATGGTTAATAAACCAAGTTACGCAATCCTCACCTCTATAGGACCAAAACTTCGAGAGCGATTCGTCATACGCACATTTCAAATAAAAAGCTATGCCGTAAGGTACATGCCTTTGAAATAGGTTAGTGTTTTTCCCTGTATCGTAAATTGTATCACATTTTTCCAAAATGCTTTCTATATCCGCGTAAATTGCAAACGGAACTTTTTCCTTATTAGAATAATGAGAAAACTGTACAAATTTTTCAGATTCTCTAGGCAATCTTACCGCACATTTATTTACTTGATGACAGCGCATCGTATGCTTTTCCAGTAACGGATTCGAAGAGAAGTGATTTAAGCAGATGTTACAGAAAAATTTTGCATGTCCCTTTCTCGACAATTGCGACGATAATAAACGTGATAGATTTTTTATCCACGCAAAATGATAGTATTTAGAATTAGCGCCATTTGTATCAGATGATAAGACTAGTAAATTGATCGTATCTGCTCGAGGTTCGCGATTTCTACTTAACATGAAAGGAAGTACGTTTCTCTTTTCTAAGCAATACAAGTTAATGGCGAGATTATTCAATCGTTCGAACTTCTTTATATCGGTTACCTTAATAGGGAATTCAATATTTCCACGGTTCAAAACAGCATCGACATGGGGGTAACTGAAAGGTCTATCGGGGTTAGATTTCGCGGGATAAAGGGCGGAGACGACCGACCACAAAAAACAATACTTGTCATTATTTCTAACATTGATAACCGCTCTCTTAAGTGCTATAAATCGAGGGATTTTAATATAGGTGGAAAAGCGTCCTACTCTAATGGGCATGTATTTATTTATGTTTATTTTTACATATAATACCTCCCTTAAACTCCAACCAGATTGACACTCTTCAAAGCCCTCAAGCTTCCCTCGCAATCTATCAATTACCTCCTTCCGATACCACTCTTTTAGATTACTACCGACATCAAGAACGCTATTTTTTGTGGCAAACGTCTTGAGATCTATATTAAGATTTTGAGGATGTATGAAATCGCATGCAAGAACCACGTTTACTTTTAGCATGGATTGTCTTAACATTTCCCTAACCTTTCGTGCAATGTTATTAAACGCCCTATCCAAAAATATTAAAGGATCCTTGTATATCGTATTTACAATAATACCGGTAAGTATTCGACTCTGAAAGCAGGAATTTAAAGTTTGCCAAATTAGGGCACGAGATTTGGGACCGTTGTTACTAGAAGGACTGTTAGTAGGGGTATCACTTATTCCACAACCCCCTTTTTTTCCCGAAACCTTTTTCAATTGTTGAAGTAACCTAACCAGATAAAATTTCAAAATGCCTAGATTACTTTCTAAAGTACTGGGGTTCTCTAGGCGATTGTCTAAATGAATTCTATTATTGATTGCATTTTGTATCAATGAAATATTTGTCCTTAATATCGAAATATGTCTCAAAATTTCCGGTTTATGTTTTAATAATGAAACAGCTTTTCGGGTCAGCTTAACTATTTCACTACTAAGAATTGCAACGGATGAAGATTCCATTGTCACTACTTACAGGAATTGTCTATCTAAAGAACTATTTCTTTCTCGGAAAAAAGATATGTGAGTACTGATATCCTTGTCACAGACACCTCGCGTACGTACAATCGACACTGTTGATGGTGTATTGCACTCGCACGACGTCCTATACTAGCCGCGGGGGGATTTGAAGATGCAAGTAATGTTAGTATCGTCACCTTATATATAGACCAGGTGTTCAGGGTCAAATATGCACAATCAGCTGCACTAGTGTGGGAAGTATCAGAATCATACGATCTATCGTTCTCACTCATTAACACAATCTTTCTTTAGTTTTTCGCAGACGTTACAACAATTTTACAATATATACTGAAAATTTTCCCCACACTTTATTATTAGTTAGCATCGAGCTCTGCAGTGTAGTAAACGTAATGCCTTTACCTTCACGAAAAATTCCAAAAAAGTCGGACCGCGCGCCGAAAATAAAAAAGGTCGAGATACTGCAATCCTTATTAATAAAACCACCGACAGCGACGACCAAAACTTTAACAAAACGACCACCACCATTGGAGACGAAAAACGCGCCGCCAACACCTAAAATGGATTCAGCGTCTCTGCCAGTAGTAAATAATGGAGGTCCATTATTGGACGAGGAAGTGATAACAATCTATTCGGATAATTCTACAATCGCGTAAGTATACAATATTTATGATTTTTTTCTAAAAGTTATTTTCTACCTCTTTCTCGTTATGTTAAAATGTAATTGCTTTTTACAGAACCGGCAACTTGGGTGATAGTTTGGAGCTAGATCTTCTGTTGGCCCAGTTGGAAGGGGACCCCGCTGCTAGTTTTATGTTCGAACCAGCTCGGTAAGTAAAAATGTATTTTTTTCTTTTCTACGTGCTTATGATAAAATTCTCTGATTTCAGAATAATTCCAACACCGATACTATCCCAACCAATGCGGTCGCCTACACCACCACCACAGCCACCGCTACCACCTGCACCGGTGTTCCCACCTCCTCAGGCAGAACGACCTGTCATGCAAGCGGGCCAAAAACGACCGTAAGTTTATATCACAATACTTATCGAACTCCATCGTAACAGATTATTTTTTTATTGATTACAGTCGCTGCCATGACAACGCCTCGCCGTCTACCAGTAGCGGAAAAATCAAAAAAGGGGGCAAGAATTTAGCAGACATAATGGAGATGGTCGGATCTGACCTGGAGGAAAGCTACAGGGCGGACAAACCTAAGGCGTCGCAGCATGAGGGGATTATGCAACCAAAAACGCCACGGGAGCTAACACTCACCACTTACAGCAGCTGAAAAGCATGGAACCGGTGTACCGGGCCAAGCTGTTGGGGGCGCGTGCCAAGACGCACGAATTGCAACGTCAATTAGATGATGCAAAAAAAGAAAAGAAACGTGTCGAGAAGGACCTTAGTGACATTGAGGACTTTCTCAAGTTCCTAAAATCTAAAAAATAAGTTTTTTATGTAAGTAGGTAATAGTTAATATTGTTAAAGGTAGACATAGGTTTTTTGTATATATAGATTTAAGTAATAAATAGCAAATAAGCAACACATAAAGTCTTCTTTTTTACATGGTGGTGGTGTGGTCATGAATCATAGGCAAGAAAAAAGATGTCTGTGTGAAAACATTGGTATAGAAAAAATAGTTATAGCGTAATAGTAAAGCTCATGCAGATCAAAATGCAGGAGATACGCAACAAGTAAACCCTTCTTTTTTACTTGGTGGTGGTGGTGGTGGTGTGTTCAGGAATCATGGACTAAAAGAAATCGTGTCTACATTGGTGTACAAAAAATAGCTACGCATATCGTTATACATGAGGTTATGCAGCCTAAAATGCAGGAGACCGCATGTATAATTGCATAAGCGCACTTGAAGCAAGACCGCTTATTATGTTCAAAAATTTCGCGGTGCACGGATTGCAAAAATTCGTAGGTTCTAATCAGTTTCAAATGTGATCGCATAAATAAAGAAGCTCGCTACAAGTAGCGTACTTCCACGATCTCGCTTTTTACCAATTGTACGTAATGTACACAAAATTACGGCGATCGCATAAAGGAAGCGCGCGAGGCGCGCTCCCACGATCAAGCTTAAGTAGCCAGCGCTGCTGGCGGATGATTGACAGCCGCGGGGGACCGCGCGGATAGCGCGCGCGGGCAGCCTTCATCCTAATAAAGGTGATGGTGTTTCAGACGAACTCCGCGGACACATATGAGTTGTATTCATTCATTCTCCTACAAGGTACCGATATCGCATTCGAACGCTGCTCGCTTCCGCTGTATCGTAAACGCTTCAAGTAAATCCCGCTGGATTTACTGCAACATCGGAGCAGTTTTTTTTTGGATTTCCATCCGAAATATTGTTCAAAATTTGTTCTCCCACCTTTTTTGAATAAATGTGCTGCTTTTTGTTCATTTACCTAAAATTACTTATATTCTGCTATTAAAAATTAGTTCTATTAAGGTTTAAAAATGTGACCCATTAGTAAAAAATAAGGTACCTACTACCTAATATTGACAATGTAAATTGAAATGAAGATTGAGAATAATTCTTTCGCGGTTTCCGAGATAAAATGTTTATTTTTACGTGCACAGGTCAATGTAATTCATTATGATTAAACCCATTTCTCCTTCGCACTTCAATTGTGTAGGTACGTAGGAAATTTCACCCGTCGTTAAATAATTATACAACATATATTCATGCGTGTTTTATTTCTTTACTGCTGCTGAAGTACATACAATAATTATTGATAGGAGCGCCAGCCCTTAAATATACATGTGTAGTACAAAAAATAGTAATTTTGATAGACGTTGGCTCTTTCAACTTCTTGTGTGCAAGCGCACTTTACTCAATTTTCGTTGCACCTCGAATACCTCCAGGTCCCATTTTAATATCTTTATTTTCGTAAGCAAATCCTCAATTCTCTTGCGGTTTCGGCTCACTTTTACAAATGTTGTTGTTGTGGTTGATGCTGTTTTTGTCATCGTAACGGATGCTCTTTCTATACCAAGATGAATATTACAGCACTCATTCCTATCCTTTATATACCACCTTCAGTTCATAAACAAACCACTTCATGCAAACCTCTGATACTTCCCTGAACATGATCAAATTACTTTAGCCCAGGCGCAAACCTCTTAACGCTAGTGTGGTTTAGAAACAGCCATATATTCGTTTTAGACAAGAACCTTGACGTTAGCTCAGTCGCAACCCTCGCAGTTCAGAACCATTCAATTCTAGTGACTTTTCTAGGGGATTTTTCATCTAGTGAGATTTAGAATCGGCCGTACACTACCATCGACAAGAACCCTCAGGCACAAACCGACTTACTTTAGCTCGGACGCAAACCTCTGATACTTTATCTTGAGCGCAAACCTCGACCCCTTGACGTTAGCACAGGCGCAAACCTCGCTACCGCAGTTCAGAACCACTCAATTCTAGTGACTTTTCTAGGGATTTTCGTCTAGTGAGATTTAGAATCTGCCATATATTACTACTCTTTGTTTATTGCGGTATTCTTTTAGACGGCGAAGCAGTCTTTTATAAATTTTTGCATTCAAATTTGGAAACGTTATATGCATATTCTCAATCCCTTAAATGTAAATATGTATTGCGGGTACGACGGTTGGAGGGGCAGAATGACGTTAAGAATGAACATTTTATTAACCTAGTGACAAATTCAAAACGTAATTTAGGAGATGAGCAATGGATTCGTAAAGTTACGCGGCTCAGCATCTTCGACAATGGCTGGAGGCACTTGGGTTTTCGCGGATCGTAAACCAGATTACTTCCTCACCTTCACGCAGTGCGACGACTGCACCGAAATCCAACTCGTCGTTTGATACGGAGTGGGAGCGGGAGGGTGTTTGGAAGGTAATTTCGGTTCAGTTAAATATCCGATCGGGTGTGCGTTGGCTTTTCAAAAACGCTTATTGGCTTGGAAAAGGCAACACGTGAACTGGAAGGGGGGCTACACGAAATACCAACACAAGGCACGCAAGGCGCAACCCGAAATAAACCTATCCCAAAACAATTTACCACCAACGAAGAAGAGAAACACATCCTTCAGTAGGAACGGTAAGCTACAGTAGTTCACGCATAGTGCTCCATGTGTGTTTTCTTTGTGAACCCGTCTCGAACCAGCTCTGCAGAAATATATATATATATATATATACGCTCTGTATATACTGTTGGTATATATAATACCTGCATATATATGCTATTGTGAAATATGTATATTCGTTTGTTTACGCAGACATAAGCTTTGAATCTATCATTTTCCCGGCTGTCTAGATCGAAGTAATGTCTTAAGAATGCGTTGTACATAAAAAACTAAATATTTGTCCATTTCTTCATTTAAAAATAAAATTTTACTTATTGAAGACAAATATCGGGGTGAAATGGACGAACCTTTTTAGGTTATATTTACTATTTGTTCCAGATGACTCGCACATATACTAAGAAATTAGGAGCTTATGGGAAGAAAAACTACAACTCCGATTATATGAAGAGGGCTGTAACAGCTGTGAAGGCGAAAAAAATGCACTAGAAAAGCGTCTGAACAATATGGAGTCCCCTACACAACTTTGAACCACCGCGTAAATATAGACATTCTAAAATCTACGGGGATAACCAGCATTGACATATGAAACAAAAAGTGTTTTTTGATGGTTTTCAGCTGTGTGCCGAGTGGGGTATCCCGCTAAAACCAATCGACATGCGGTTCAGCAATTGCGGCATATTTCGAATACTTGCGAAAACCCCTAACGACATTCGCCGTCTAATGTACTCAATTACGACGAAACAAATTGTGTGGACGATCCTGGAGCTGTTAGCGGGGCAAAATTGTGTGACGAGCAGTTTCCAAGATTCCTAAGATGCGAAGATTATTCCGTGTAATATTACTCTTAAAGCAAGTGAAAGAAGCGAAGTATTTTTCTATTATACTTCACAGTACACTCGATTGTTTTTAACAGGTGCCAAATAAATTCTGCTGTCTCCAAATTATTTTAGAGCAAAAACGTATTAAGTTTTTTGTAGAAAAAATTTTGTTGCGCCAATCAACCGTATTAGTTTTCAATTTTGTTCATATAATGACGGAAAATTGGAAAAACAAAACCCGCATCTTTTCCAATAGTTTCTAAAACAAAAAAATAGGTCCTTTGGGAACGGCGTTACAAATATTTTATCGGGTGCCGTTGCTGTTGTATTTTTGCACCCTTTGCCACTTTCTTGACGGCAGGTCTTTAAAAAAACTGACAGGGAAGAACAAGAAGTACCCAAGACAACTTTTCAGCAAGCAACACCCTCCAATTAGAGCGATGTAACGTAACCACCAGCATTTCACCACCACCGTTTGGACTGTTTATTGGCATTTACTCATGGACAATTTTTAGGTCAGTTTAACTATATAAACTACAAATGCTAACAGGTTTCATAGACATATATAGGTTTAGGTACAACATGACGTTTCAAAACATACGTCGAAACCGTAATACAAGTTTTACTTGTCCTTCGTAATCAGGCATAGCAGACGATCCCTTACAACAAATGACTATATGTATGATGTAATAAAAGTACTAGTAGGTAATACCTACCGCTAAATAAAATCATAAAATTTTAGTTAAATAGTGCCCAACGTTACTTGAAACGTAGAATTGCGGAGCACTAAACCGGCGTAAAGTCATGTAATAACTAATGTGAAAAAAATTGAATTTTCATCTTTTGGTTAGCGGTGACGATCACGTATCTCTTGTACTATTGTTCATTCATTTATTATAAGAAACTATACACAGCGCGCTACTGACGTCAGAGTACGCAGTCTCGTTGCAGGGTACGCTTTCTAGCCTCTCGCTGTTAGCGATTAGAAATTACCTCTTAAATCAATTAATAATTTTTTTTCGATTTTTTGAAGTGTTATATGGGTTAGATTAGGGCTCTTGGGTCTACGATGGTAGGGATGATCAGATATGTTCCAAAATGAATATACAGGCTCTACACCCCCCAAAATGTCAAATGTAAAATTTCAACCCCCTACGGCAACGCATAAGGGTGGTTGTATAGGGGTGAGGGGTTGAAAAAACAGTTTTTGCGAACAAAGAGCGTCGTCATAACTTTTTTTACATCTTGTACACGTGTGCAAAATTTCAGGTTCCTACGAGTATTTTTTTATTTTTCCCAAGAGGGAACTAATCTCTTGCGGGAAGTTTCAACTAGATGTGGGGTCTCGAGTACTTCCACTCTGCCCACGGACCTGAAAACTCATCCGAGGACGGTGGAGAGCGAGCAACTTAAATTATTTTCAACTTAAGGTGAGCAGTTGTGGTCAAGATAATTTTCATATGATTTTGTTCCTTGAAAAGGTAAGTTTTGGATTATTTAAAAATAATGTAATCAGAATCCCTCATTTTGGAAAAATCATTGTTAAGCCTCCTATAGAGAAGATATACAGTGCACTTGCTCGTTTCAGGCAGCCGGCGTCACTATGGACACCCTTCCCGTGTATTTGGGTTCGAACGACACCCCAGCAGCTAAACGTGAGCGAAAGGCGAGAGCAATTTTTCTTTTAGAGAGTTACGGCGTAGTACCCAGATGACATGGCGGATCAGATGTTCCCTGCCCCGTTTGCGGAGAAGTTTTTGGTACCGTTTTGGATAGAGCGAGATATGGTTGGAGATTTAAGTGTCCAAATGGACATCGGCTGACCCCCACCAGCAACACCTTCCTCTTCAATGCTCGCCTTGAAGATATCGGCGCCGGTACCATTCTACGCATTATTCAGTGCTTTGTAGAAAGTAAGAATATTTTACTGCTTTCAAATTTATCTGATTATTATAAGAAGCTATATGTATTATAAATGATTCTGCATTAGGGGTCAGCGTAAAAGCCTGTGAATGTCACCTTCAGCTGGCGCATGACACCGTCATTGCGTGGTACAGCTATTATAGAGATCTCGCTCGGAAGATCGCTTGGCACGACAGTAAAGGAGCTGCACGGGTTCGAGCCCACTTTTGGTCGAAATTACATGTAATTTCCCATAAGGAATTCTAAGGTTCATTTGGGTGTTTTTGGAGCAGTTTGGATGTGCGCATGCGCGCCCCGCCCCTTTGCGCAGGCGTCTGCGCAGGCGTCATTTGGACGCCATCTTGGAATCCTCAAGTTCTTGGAATCCTCAAGTTCTTGGACGCTTGGAATCCTCAAGTTCTTGGACGCCATCTTGGAATCCTCAAACTTCGACCCCTTCGTACCCTGAAAAATTTGTTAAATGGAACGGATTCGAACCGCCAACCATTGGATTACAAGTCCTATAGCATAACCACTAGGCTAACTAGACTTGTATGATATAATGCTTGGATAGTTGTATTTATATCGAACCTCCTGAAAATTTTTTTAAATGGAACGGATTCGAACCGCCAACCATCGGATTACAAGTCCTATAGCATAACCACTAGGCTAACTAGACTTGTATGATATAATGCTTCGATAGTTGTATTTATAACGAACCTCTAAATATTATTAAATCATAGATATATTAAATGGTACGGAGGTGCCATCTATTGGCGTCGTAATGCATATAGAGGTATATTTTCAACCGACTCCCTCTATTAGATTGATGTGACATATAGGTATAGGGTAGGAAATTGTAATTTCAGGAGACAGGTGCGAGGACCCTCATTCTAACCTATAATTCCATCTCGGAGGTAGGTTCCCTATAACCAGAACAGGAGTGGGCAGGGAAAAAACCCGATAGGGGCTAGGGGCTATTTGGTGGCGTCAAAATGATACGCATCTAACGTATAGGAAACTGCAATTTTGACTTCTTGCGTTAGAAATTTACGAATAAAGTCGGCCGTTTATAATGTACATTTAGATAGCAAACATTTGAACTATCCATCCGTTTGGATAATAGGTATTTATAAATCGAAAGGATGCGAATTATCTGTTTATCGTTAAGGACGCAAAAAGGGTTCCACATTATAAATACCACTTTATCGCATCATTTGTTCTCAATGTGTGTACGAGCAGCAAAATGACATCGGCGCCGACGAGGACCAATATTTCAAAGTGTGAGTGGTTGTTAAACGAAATTCGAGAGTATGTGCCAAACGTAAGTGTTTTAATAATTTTTTAAACTGTTTGCAATTATTAGTTTTAGGGGTACACGATCATGTGCCCGTGTGCACATAATCTGGTTTATGATGAGAGGCGCGACATTCTACTATTTATAGACCCCCTTTTTTTGGGGATTACTATATATGGGTTTTTACGAATTCAGAACCCTCAGGAAGGGGAGTAGCATTTGTGCGTGTAGGACCGTAAGTTTAAAAAAAGTTTGCGACCTGTTTGCATTTTTTTTTTCGCAGAAGATACCAATCACCTCGTCAAAGGAACTGCTACAATCAAAATCGTTGACATCAGTCGTCCTCCTCGTCCTTCAAAAAACTAATGCAGAAGGTGCGTCTCATAATTAAAATCATTAATGTGCAAAATTTTATGTATTTTAAATATTTATAATAAAGGTCCTCGTCGGCGGCGTATTTTTTTCTTTATTAAGGTTCACATACATCGAAAAAATTAGATTACAAATAAAGCTATAGATATTTCACTCATTCCAATCACAATTTACCTGATAAGTAGTATATTCTGTTAAATCAATTTTTCGAGGATCCACATTTATGTTGCGATAATAGTTATGATATGGTAAGTGTTCTAATTCTAATTCCGGATAAAAATGAAGACTCCACTGGTCCATTTGAATTCTGCTAATCAACCGATCAATCCTAATTTTATAATCCTGTTCATTTTCACGTTTATCCATTTCGATGGATCGAAATTCTACTTCTTGTTCTTCTTCTTGTTCTTCTTCTTCGTCACCATTGAGGGACGAGTATGATGATGATGCCGGTACATAAGGTGTTATCCAAGGATGTGACATTTCAGTAGACTCATCAGGAGCAGCAGAACCCTCGTAATATTGGCGCGTATAAGTGTGACGGACGATGCTAGTATTATTAATTCCTGCAATTAACGTAGTAGGATAGCGGCTTTTTAACGTTCGAATTGAGGTTATGTTACATATTTCCTTGTTGGTTAGTGCTTCATGTATTTCTGTTCTCCATATAATTTTCAGTTGTCTTGCTCGCCATAATTTCTTTAAGAAATACAGGATTCTCTTGGGCATGTAGATGTAACCGTATATATTTTCCGGTACAAACGAACGATATTTAAACTTATTCAATACCGCAGCTCCGCTTAATGTTTGCAGAGATCGAGGCTGATAGCGATATATTAATTTGGAGCTTCCTTCACCGGCAGGGACAAAGTTAAATTCCACCACGGTAGGCGGCAACTGAATTACTTCTTCTTGCACAATGGCGACTCTCTGCCGATGTCCATCAATTACAGGCACACTTTCTAACACAACGTCAACAAAAGCTTCTACATCTTCCATGTCTTGAAACAAGTGCAATTATAAACAAAATCATAATATTACGTAATCGTTAAATAGTAAAATGGACATTTAGCTGCGTATATTCTAGAAGAGGAACAAGTTACCGAATTATCGATCTACCTTGTATAGCTTTAGTTAAATTATTATTGGGTAGATACACCTCTTTCCATGACCACCCAGGAGGCAATAAATTCACACTAGAAATAATGCAATTTATTGGAGATGTTTACGGTCTCGTTATAGGATTCCCCATTAGATATTTCTCTACACAGGGTGTATAAAAAATAACTAATAGGCCTACCTTTTTAATAGTACTGCTTGTGCAACAATGAAATCTTAAATTTATACAAGAATTTACTATTTTTAGCTTTATACAGGGGTAGTTTGCTAATAACCTTTAGTCTAAGAATATTCCTAAAATAATATCCTAATTTGTATACAAATTTCCTAGGATTTTGACAATTTGTAACTAATTCATCAAAAATCACAACCTTAATCAACTTCCATCTGTTCAACATCTTGAGGCTTACTGATAGCATAATGGCCCCACGGTAGAGTGTTAAATGAGTCAGGAATCAGGTATCTCTTATCATCCTCAAGACTTAGGGCAATTTTCGATTGCGTTATGGAATAAACTTGATGTTTATCCGTACGAATCAAATTTTGAGATGTAGTTTTGCGCTTATAGGTCTCTAGACATTCCACATAATCGTCAAAAGTAATTTTAGTCTCCACTACACTTTTCTTTATCCCCTTTGCCTTCTTAGTCAAACCATAATTTTTAATAACCGTAGCAATTTCATCCTCATCATACTCCTCCGCTTCCAATTTCTGTTGTAGTTTTATTAAATCGTCCTTAGTGGATAACACTTTAGTGGTGTACAGTTTCGATCGTAATCCTACATAATCAGTCATTATCTGTCCATTATTTTCATCTTTCATCATGCCCAACACTTTCTTATTTACAAGGGGTATGCCATATGGGTTATTGGGGTCATAATCGCTAGTATCGTAATATTTAAAACAGTCGCTTTTTATAGCCATATAAGGGTCTTGTTCACGAATTTCGTAAATTAAGCTGTCCGTATCTGTGTAAAGAACAGTGCAGTTATCTCCAAATCTATCCATCATGTAGTCATAATGGAAGCTGTATATAGTTGTCTTGGCTAGATCAAGAATAGCTTGGCCCACGTATATAGGCTTATTTAAATAAATTTCAAGCTTATTCAATTCTACAGCTACCAAGTTTTCGTTAAAAATGGCGCAAGATTTAAATTCCGGTTTCGCAATGTATGATTCTGCGCCGTAACGTCCTTTCCATTGCGTTAGTAATTTGATATTAACCCGTTTTCTGACATTTTCCATAGTCTTCCCAAAGACTGCGTTATTCATCAACTTAAACAAGTTCTTCTCAAATTCATTCTTGGCTTTTTTTCTTAGTTCTGTATTAAGGTCAATGTAGGACTTTAGCCAAGGGGACTGTTTAAATTTGAGTACCCTATGTACTTTGGAGAGAATTAGACCATGGGCTAATGCTTGCTTCAAGGCTCGATAGTGGATGACGTATTTTTCTTTATTATTTAAGGTCGCCATGAGTTTTGAAATTTCCGCAGCTTCAGTTGGCGGTTTCATAGTCTTCGGGTTGATGTGTAATGCACAGAACGGTAAATCCGTGTGAGCGTCATGCAAATGCTGTGGATACTCCAAATCAACTTCTAGAATGTAGCCTTCATCTGCATCATCCGGAATCGTAGTGATATCGATGTTGGAGTCTACCCATTCAAAGCCTCCATATGGAAGATATTGACTCATACTCCAGCCATACTGGTTATTGATATCGTTGTACATTAGATAGACATCCGGTTTCGTTGAATCATATTTGGACATATATTTGTTGTTTGCATGAGCTCTTCTTTTAGAGCAGACTTGACTTAACCCTCCACGAATACCCCGCTCGACAAAGAGAAACATATCCTGGTCGGTAAGGAGTTCCAGCTCTTGTCGCGTGTATTTCAACATGGCATCCCAAGTAAAGCCTGGTAGTGTAAAATAGTGGGCCGGATCTAAATCATAAGTGCTAATACAGCTTGATCTAAACTGTTCAAAGACATCTGCAAGGAGTAGAATATCAGTCTTCATGTACAAGTCAACATATTGACCCAAGTTGCTGCAGTTAAATCTGCTCCACACCTCCTGAGCTCTACGATACATTCTTCTGGGACAGGGCTTATCTTCCAATTTATTGTAAAACGCATCTTGAGGAGGCAGACACAGCTCATCGAAACGGTCGAACGAGTCGAAGTAATCATACGGCATAATACCCTTTTTAGTTAAAATATTAAATTGATCTTCAGGTAGTGTAGAGAATTGTGACTTTAGATTAGGAAAGTTCGTTAGAGCTGATGATAATTTATCTAACGATGATGCCATAAACCGGAAGCTGTCTATAAATCTAAAGCATATGCGTGACTCGTTGATGTGTTTGGTAAAAGAAATATATTTCTCCTTGGTTATAGGGAGCAAGTCGATCTTGCCGTCCATTCTAGTGGCAATATCTGCTACCACAAAGTGAGCATCATATCCACTCAAGTTGTGGAACACCACCGGAATTGTATGAGTGTCCTGGTAGTTGACGTTGCATCCCTCACATGCCGCTCCGCGGAAGTTGTTCTCCGGGATAAGGTGATTGTGATCTCGAACTTTCTTTTGACCAGATTTAAATGACTGTTCACAAATATGGCAGTGCGTTGCTGCTTGAAATTCAAGTTCCTGCTGTGGTGTCATATGCATCTTGTAGGGGCAAAGAAACACCGTAGAGACATCTTCCGCAAGCTTATTCATCTCGTCAGCAAACCATCGCATACAGTCTTCACCGCGGTAGCTGTTGTAGAACGAAAGAGATTCATCGTATGAGCACTTGAAGTAGTATCCCACAGCTGCTGGAATATGTTGTTGGTATGCAGTCTTTTTTGTGCTAGGTTTCAGAACGCTCTCGAGATCTGCATATACGACAAAGGGGGCTTTTATTTTATTTTTAAAATTTTTAAACTTCAACATCTTTTTTTCCTCTGTAGGCATCTTGATGGCTGTATCATTCTTTTGTATGCAATCCTTAATATGCTTATGTAATTTATCTTCAGAACGGTAAAAATGTAGACATCTATCGCAAATATACTTTTGCCTTTTTTCTTTGCTTAACTGCTTCGATACTAGCCGTGAAAGATTTTTTATCCAAACATAATGGAACTTGGTCGATTGTTCGTAGCAGTCTTGCACTAAAAGCAGGTTCACATGTTTATCCCTCTTTTCCTTCGTTAGGTAGGTAGGCAACGTATTAAATTGGTCTTTTTTCTCCTTCTTCAGAATATACACGTTAATGGAGATGTTGTTTTGTTTTTCAAAGTTCGGAATTTGTCGCATAGTCATCGGAAACTGGATCCCTTTTAGCTTGAGCACGGAAGAGTAGTGAGGGTATTTGGATATTCTTTGAGGATGTTTATCAACAGGATACAACGCTGAAACCACCGCCCACGCAAAGCACGCATTGTCATCGTTCTTAACGTTGATACAAGCTTCTTTTCTCTTAATCAGGACAGGTAACTCAATATATGAAGAGCCAAGTTGAGGTGTAAATTTGTTAATGTTCACTCCTAAATTAACAACGGCACTAAGTCCCCAACCACTATCACGTTCTTGAAATTCCGATAATTTCTTCATTATTGGTTTCTCAACCTTCTCCTTAAACCACTCATCTATGTTAGTATCCCTATATATTGCCGCATTTGATGTTGTAAAGTACTTATACTCATTAAGCATCTTTTCACCTTGAGTAATCACAAATTCCCCGCAAAAAATCGCATTTATTTTCACAGCCTCATCTTGCTTCAACGCGTTATGAATTCGGCTTTTGAAGATGGTCTTACAATCCATTAAGAAGTTGCCGGGGTCTTTATGTTTAAGATTAGTGATAACTCCAGTTCGTATTCTATTGCTAAAAGCCGAAATGGAGTCATCCCAATGCACGCGATCTTTTGCGGTTTCTTTTCTATTACTAAAAGCCGAAGTGGAGGTTCCTTTATTCAAAGATATACCCAAGCCTCTCCTTTGTTCTAATTTAAAGTGTTTACGCATCGATTTAATATTACGTAAACAAGCCTCAAGATGTTGCCTTTCACCTATGGATAATGACCTACGCATCGAATCTTGAATCCTACGTCTAGCCTTATCACACTTAATTATCCCTTGCCTCACGGTTTTGCCACTATACTTAGTTCTAAGCACACTTAAAATACTTGCAATCTGTTTTACTAAATCGGTAAACATCTTGCACGTCTAAAAGCCCAAAATACTAAATAATAAAAGCAATATTAATAACAAAACTCACCTATAGATATAATACGTTTAAGAAAATACACACTAACAGATAAAATACGACTAATAAATTCGCACCAACAGATACAATACGACTGATCTCAACGAATGATCGAATTGGAATGGGAAAAATCTGAATAATGTATCGCATATATAGCGAACTCCTCCTAGATACCACCATTGAATAAAAATAGTGTTTTTATTCAATGATACCACTCAACGTTACGATAAATTCGATAATAAATGTATAGGGAGTTGCGAAAGTTATATAGGTTGGTATAAGCAAATTCTATTTATAGGTCATTAATCTATTTATAGGTATATTAGGAATAAAAACAATTTATGCAAAACGTGTTTTATTAAGGGTATCTAAACATTACGGCGTTATTTACTATACCGTGATTTGTGCAATTGCATTTTTCAAACAATTTTTCGGACTCCTCGTTGGAACAAAATGCTGAAAATTCAGTAACGCCAATGATGTGAGTCACAAGTTCGGCGGCATATCCTCTTCTTCGATACTCCGGTAAAGTATAGACGTAATTCAGCATCTTAAGATTTTTATGAATATCTAGAGGATCGAAGTTCATTCTTGATATTAGCGCAAATGCTGCAGGTTTCGAATTCAGGTACCTAATGTAGCAGTAGACGCCCTGATCGATGTACCACTGATAGAGAAAAACATCATCTATCTTTAAACGCTTTATCTCCTTAACTGCTTCTTTACCTCGAAATAATCGTATATTCGTCATCTTCTGAACTGAAGACGTATATCACTCCACATCTATATTTATATGGGTAGGTATGTAATAACGGAAGCAGCATTCGGACTGTTTCTTATCAAAAAGCAACTCATTCACTTTTATTTTAAGAACCTTGCATTTATGCTTCCGCGCAGAAGATTCTAGAACAAGCAATTCTATAATTATCATCATTTTTCTAGAACCATAACGGAAGCAGCATCCCGCTCCCAATCACATTTTTTTCTAGAAGAATGAATAAATAGAATTACAGCATCCGCTCTCCCAATCATCAAACCTTGTGTAGCTATTTTTAATGAGGTTTTCCTGTTTTTATCGCACTTGACGACTGAAACCCGTTAGAGTAGGAAATTTGATAATAAAATGGCATCGAAGTATAATTTTAAACTTTCGGCAGGTTTTTCCTGTTTTATCACACTTGACGACTGGAACCCCGTTAGAGTAGGAAATTTGATAATAAAATGACATCGATCTATAACTTATAATTTTATTATACATACTGAAGCTTTGCCATTACATCATTAACAATAATTGAGGGATTGTAATGTAATATTTCTTCTAAACACATTTTTCTGTAATATACTTCTATGCACAGCTGATTAATTAAGTATCTAGCATCTTCGTATACATCAGCGATAGGCGCGGTCTCCTTATTACTTCTTTTCAAGTCAACCATTTTATTGATAAATATCTGGTAAAAGGTAGCGAAGTTATAGGACCCTAGCTGTTGTAGTCTTGAGTTTATTGCATATTTCATGTTGAACAACTCCTCAATCTCGGTTCTATGCATGCAGCACGATTGATTAAATTGTCGAATATCGATGGTGGTTATAATTTTATCTGAATCATCGGTAAATTTCCAGTTATAAAGTAAGCCTAAAGTGTCACTTAATGGTTCATAGTAATCTTCATAGTTGACGTCTTCATAGATGAGGTCTTCAGCAGACCAACATTTTTCTGTTTTCTTTGATAGATATAGCTGTATTTCGGTATAGGGCTGCCATTTCAAAAGATTGTTCCAATCTTCAACAGTCAATATGACGCCGCAACCCTCGCTCTTGCAAGAGAGGCGTAAAACAGGTTCCTGATGAAAACAAGTGCTATAACCTATTTCAATATCCTTACTATCACTGAGAACGTATCGTACAGCACCAATTAACGTTTCCTTTGCCGCTTGACGATAAATTTCAGCTAATTCCTCTTCTAAATAACTATATGATGGTAATGATGATGATGCAGTAGCATCCAATGACGAACAGAACCAACAATTACACATGTTATCGCCTTCACTCTTGTAGTTAAACTAAATTATGGGAAAAAACTTATAGATCGGTATGAATCAATAGCGTAGTGGAGAGGGAAACAGCATGATGTGATTTAAGAACCTTAGCCTCCTTACCGGCAGGTTTGTCCTCTAGGAATCAGCCATCTTGCTAACTAATACAATGACCTTGCCTACCAGGTCCAACGGGTATGTCAACTAGTCCAGGTGGTTTGTCATCAGCTTGTCAACGGGTTGTCTGTTCATATCGGTACCAAACCGGTTCAAAGCTGTTCAATAGCGGATCAACATCGGTTCAGAGGCGGTTCAAAGCAGTTCGAAAGCGGTTCAGAAGCGGTTCAAAGCAGTTCGAAAGCGGTTCAGAGGCGGTTCGAAACCGGTTCAAAGCAGTTCGAAAGCGGTTCAGAAGCGGTTCAAAGCAGTTCAGAGGCGGTTCAAAGCAGTTCGAAAGCGGTTCAAAGCAGTTCGAAAGCGGTTCAAAGCAGTTCGAAAGCGGTTCAGAAGCGGTTCAAAGCAGTTCGAAAGCTGTTCAATAGCGGGTCAACATCGGTTCAGAGGCGGTTCAAAGCGGTCCAATATCGGTTCAAAGCAGTTCTAAAGCAGTTCGAAAGCGGTTCATATCGGTACAAAAAACGGTTCAAAGCAGTTCAAAAGCGGTCCAACGGCTTTTTCATCTGATCCAAGGGCTCTACCTATCTGATCTAACGGCTTTGCCAACTGTTCCAGCGGGGTTTGCTAACTGACCTAAAGGAGGTGTGATCCTTTTAATTCCCATAGCTCGCTTTTCCGTAAAGACATAAAGGGGTTCAGAACAGAGGACAGAAGCCATTTGGTGTTGTGTTGTCGAGAAGAGCAGCCCTTCAACGATGTCTAAAGCGTGTAATTGGGGAAGACCTTGTAACTGTAGCGACTGTCGACCTGAGCTAAAGGAAAAATGTGAAATTTGCTGCGAAAAAGAAGGATACCGCGTTGGAAGTACTTTAAGAAAAGACAGAAAGGGGATAAAGTACTATGACTTTGAAACTTGTTGTCAACAATGCTATCAGGAAAATTATGGGGAGAGAGAAGAACGAATCTTTAACATGATGCTGCAAATTCTCGAGGATTCGATTAAAAATCCTCCCAAAAAGCCTCAACCTGTCCCTGTCTACGTTACCGAGCGAAAAGAAATTAAAGAGGTGTTGTGCAGATTATTCGGAAAAGAACTGTATATGTGTGAAGATGATAGATGTCGACGCAGAATACCACAAATTCTTGATAAACTTAAAGTGAAGATTGTTTGGGAAAACAAGAACGGCGGGAAATTTGAATATGAAAGTGATGAAATTGGATACGATCATACGACTGATTGGTTTGAACAGTATATTTTACCTGAGATAATAAAGAAAATAGCGGGACCTATTTGGGTTAAAACATTGCAAATTTCCCCTACATATAGATTACCTAAGGTCGTATATGTAACAAAGGGTTAAGTTCTCCGTAGAGAATGGTATAGAAAACATTTATAGTGAGGCTGATAATTTTTGCAAGAGACTACACTTCAAATTATTCTACGAAACTGTTAAAGTCGCTAAAGGTTGGTAATCCTATATACCTTGAGGATCTATTAGGAGAACCTATAATGGGGCACTTCGATGCTGAAGAAATGTAGAAAACAGCCCATCCGAGAAAGTTTTAAGGCGTAAGGAGACAGTTAGTCGTTTACTGTAGCAATACTGATATCAATTAAGTAGCTCCATACATTAGAAGAATATGTAACCGAATTGAAGAAATGGTAATATCGAGATATCAGCGATGAAGAGGAAAGTGTGGAACGGAATAAAAGAAAGAGTAATGTGAAGAAGAAAATCAGAAGGAAGAAAAAAAGAGCTGTATAATAGCAAGTTTTGCTTAAAAAGCTCATTCTCAGACTCGTTTGTATGCTTGACGCAATGAAACAAAATAAAATTTATATCTTGCGAGTTTGGCAATAAACAAACAATTATCATACATAGATTGCAGTACATATGTCCACTATTGAACTTTGTAATGCATTTCCTTTCATAATAAATATGTTTACGAAAATAATACATTGTAAATGCATACAATGTGTTTTATTCAATAAGTCAAAGTTCGACTATTTATATTTATAAATCGAAAAGGATGCGAATTATCTGTTTATCGTTAAGGACGCAAAAAGGGATCCGCATATTAACTGGCGAAGTATAATTGGAAACATGTAGGATGGCGTATGACCATGCTCCCATTTAATTCCATGATGGTTATGGATTAGCCAGGTAGCTTGACGTTGTACCTAAGCCACCTGCTTTCCATTATAAATTGTAAGCTCTTTCAGTAAATCCGGAGCGCTTTTACGCAAATACTATTCAAATATTATTCAGTATAAAGCGGCCACATCATCCAATGCAATTTTATAGATAACGCGCTTCTTCGGTTCTATTGTTATCAATATGACACCTTTGACTTAAACGCCTACAAGTTCTTACGGTTTCCTGTTAGTCTTGCACCTATATCCTCGAGTCTAACTATCATGTCCCGAAAAATTTCTAGAAAGAATTTATACTTTTCCTATTAAAACAATGCAACTATATAGGTGTCCTTGAGTCGTAATCTTAAGCTAATTATTTCATCAGCTACGCTTTACGAAATTATCAATGGCGGCAGCTCGTGAGTAAATAGAATATAGGTATCGTTAAACTTTAGTTATAGCAAAATTTAAAATCTACTCATCTCCAGGGCATAACGATAGTCGATGTAGTGAAACAGCCGGCTTTTGAATAGGTTGAGGTAATACTCAAAAGGTGTATGGAATTGGTCAATGAAACGAAAAGTATGTATTCAAGTTTATCGTATCACCTTCAAAGTAGACCTCCTTCTAAAATAATACACTACCTATGCGCATACTAATTTTTGAAGGTCTTCAGACTTCGGGAACCCCCCCGCAACGTACGCATTTTCAAAACAAATAGGGTGCTTTGATCGATAATAATACAAATCTATCACCGGCCTGTACCAAATGTTTTACCTATATAATATCACGTTCTATAGAGGTATGGCGATATTGAATATAATGAGTGAAGGATGTAAATTTTTATTGTATGTTTATCTGCATACCCCTTTGTATCAAGCTTCCTATGACATCGTTTGTCATAGCTGTACAATCTGTACAGGTTTCCTGGCTAAATGGATAGCAATAAATAAAACTCCTCTTCGAAATCGTTTGATAGCCATTTGTTACGAGGATGGCGGGTAAGAATGACCTCTTTTCTATTTTTAATCAAACTTAATGTATGTAATTTTTCAGCTCAAGGTGCGGCCATCATCTTCGGGCCATTACAAACGGCCTATGGTAAATACACCACACATCTATCACACGTTTAACCATATATTTGTAGAACGAGAACTACGTAACTTCATAAAAGAAAAATATGCATCTGTAAGTACTTTTCATGCATCATACCGTATTTTAATTAGCTCTTATTTAGGAAAATGTTGCTATTTTACGGGGTCGGGGGGTAATCCCCGACTCCGTAAAGATAGAGGAAAGCCTGTTTAGGAGTAAGAGGTTCCAGGTCTTTAAAGACCTGGAACTCCAAAACACCTACTGGGTGTTCTATGTAAGTGTTATCATTTCAATTATAATGTATACTTCAATGAATATTTTTTTCCAGAATTAATAAACCTGTAAAATTTTGTTCTGTTTTTCTTATCCGCCCCACTGCATAGGATTATGATTGTATCCGTGTTCTAAGCTCTTACCTAAAATAATAAGATGTAGTGGTTAGGTACTTATCCATAATGCTATACGGTGTTATCCTTTCTCTCGTAAAAGTCTTAAGGTGCCAGAAGCATCTCTATCCTAGTTTGGAATTCAGAAGCTTGCCTTATCACAGATATTATCAGCACATAAACTTAGTTCCCAAGAAAAATTGCGAAAACTTGTGAAACTTTAAACAGCAGCGAAATCTATAGCATTACATTAACTCGAGCTATAAAAAATTTATATCCTATAACTTTGATTGCTAGAATTAATAACACATCTGTTTTAAATCGTACGCTTACACGTATTATGAAGGTACTGCTCAAGTGTATCAATTTGATTTAAGAAGCGTGTCGTATCACAGATATTAACAGTACATAAAGTTAGCTTCCTTTCTCCCGTAAACAAGTCTTGAGGCACCTCCTCCCACCCAACGTCCATCTCTATCCTGTTTGGGATTAAGAAGTCTGCCTTAGCACGGGTATTATCACCATATAAACTTAAATCCAAGAAAAATTATCAAAATTTGTGAGAGTTTATATAACAGCACTATTCTAACTAGAGTAATAAAAAATTCATATCCTAGCACTTTGATTGCAGGAATTAATAACACATCTGTTTTAAATCGTATGGTTACACGTATTATGAAGGTGCTGCCCCAAGTGTATCAATTTGATTTAAGAAGCTTGCCTTATCACAGGTATTATCGGCACATAAACTATGATTCAAGAAAAATATTGATTTAGCCCCATACGAAACTTTTCTTAATAGCTGTAATTGATATGAAGGTTATATGATAAGCCTTTTCTTAATATAGATATAGCTAAAGTTGGTGTAATACATAATATTCACAATCTTATCGTTTGATAGCCATTTGTTACGAGGATGGCGGGTAAGAATGACCTCTTTTCTATTTTTCATCAAACTTAATGTATGTAATTTTTCAGCTCAAGGTGCGGCCATCATCTTCGGGCCATTACAAACGGCCTATGGTAAACATCACACGTTTAACCATATATTTGTAGAACGAGAACTACGAGAATGGATACAACAAAAATATGCATCTGTAAGTACTTTTCATGCATCATACCGTATTTTAATTAGCTCTTATTTAGGACAATGTAGCAATTCTACGGGGTCGGGGAGTGATCCCCGACTCCGTACTGATAGAGGACGGTAGCTTCCTGGGGCGGAGGTTCCAGGTCTTTAAGGACCTGGAACTTCCAGCACACCTATTGGGTGTTCTATGTAAGTGTTATCATTTCAATTATAATGTATACTTCAATGAATATTTTTTTCCAGAATTAATAAACCTGTTAAATTTTGTTCTGTTTTTCTTATCCGCCCCACTGCATAGATTATGATTGTATCCGTGTTCTAAGCTCTTACCTAAAATAGTAAGATGCAGTGGTTAGGTATTTATCCATAATGCTATACGGTGTTATCCTTTCTCTCGTAAAAAGTCTTAAGGCGCCAGAAGCATCTCTATCCTAGTTTGGAATTAAGAAGCTTGCCTTATCACAGATATTATCAGCACATAAACTTAGTTCCCAAGAAAAATTGCGAAAACTTGTGAAACTTTAAACAGCAGCGAAATCTATAGCATTACATTAACTCGAGCTATAAAAAATTTATATCCTATAACTTTGATTGCTAGAATTAATAACACATCTGTTTTAAATCGTACGCTTACACGTATTATGAAGGTACTGCTCAAGTGTATCAATTTGATTTAAGAAGCGTGTCGTATCACAGATATTAACAGTACATAAAGTTAGCTTCCTTTCTCCCGTAAACAAGTCTTGAGGCACCTCCTCCCACCCAACGTCCATCTCTATCCTGTTTGGGATTAAGAAGTCTGCCTTAGCACGGGTATTATCACCATATAAACTTAAATCCAAGAAAAATTATCAAAATTTGTGAGAGTTTATATAACAGCACTATTCTAACTAGAGTAATAAAAAATTCATATCCTAGCACTTTGATTGCAGGAATTAATAACACATCTGTTTTAAATCGTATGCTTACACGTATTATGAAGGTGCTGCCCCAAGTGTATCAATTTGATTTAAGAAGCTTGCCTTATCACAGGTATTATCGACACATAAACTATGATTCAAGAAAAATATTGATTTAGCCCCATACGAAACTTTTCTTAATAGCTGTAATTGATATGAAGGTTATATGATAAGCCTTTTCTTAATATAGATATAGCTAAAGTTGGTGTAATACATAATATTCACAATGTTATCTTATTTATCGCAACTGTATACGCATTCAGACACAATAAAAACCCCCATAGGTACCGGTACTAATATGGAAATGAAATGGTATAAAAAGTACCTTATCACAACATTCGCTATAAATAAACACTATCGCAAGATTGCAACTTCCCATACCAAGTGAATAATGAAATCCGCGCGTGTTGCTATTTTTTTTCTCTTTATAAAATTAGGAGGATAACTTTAACGTCTTAAACCCACCCAACAGGATACTACATAAAACTACGGGGTAGTTCATACGTCTTGGTCCCTAACCATGGAAAATTCCCACGAACTATAAACCTGGAGCTATGCTGTAGTCGGTAGGCCTAAGGGGTAGCTCCATTCGATAGGGGAGGTAGCTATCGTTCCTATGAAATAGCTCATACGGTCCCCCTACCGCCCCTACCATCAAAAGCTGATGCTATAATTAAACAGTATCGCATTATAGCAAGATTGCAGCATCCCGTCCAAACGCGGTTATTTTCTTTCTATAAAAACACCATGACTCCACATCGCACCGCACGTAGCTTCAACGGCAGCTTCAACCACCTTAAAATCCTTGTAAATATTCCGCTAAGACATATTATACATTTTAAGAGTCTATTTGTAGAACGGCCTCGACCAAATGGAGAATTTACAGTTAGGTATGAATAACAATGCTGTCATCCAAAAAAAAAATAGGGGCGTTGCCGTCGTCGGTCCTCTTCGACGCAAATTTTATGTAAGTAGAGTAAGCGCTTTAATTGTAATAATAAACTTCAAATCACTATTTCCGCTGTAAATAAAAACACCCTACATTTTGTTTGTTGTTTTTTCCCTGCCCACTCCTGTTCTGGTTATAGGGAACCTACCTCCGATATGGAATTATAGGTAAGAATGAGGGTCCTCGCACCTGTCTCCTGAAATTACAATTTCCTACCCTAGTCGCATCAATCTAATAGAGGGAGTCGGATGAAAATATACCTCTATATGCATTACGACGCCAATAGATGGCGCCTCCGTATCAAATCGCTATTTCAGCTCTAAATAAAAACGCTCTACATTTTGTTTTTGTTGTTTTATTTCCCTCCCCGCCCCTGTTCTGGTTGTAGGTTAGAATGGGGCCCCCTTGTGTATGTCTCTCAAATGGGGGAGCTACCTCCGAGATGGAATGATAGGTTAGAATTCTCCTCCCTTGCATCTCTCTCCTGAACCACTGGATAGTTCACATGTTTGCTATCTAAATGTACATTATAAACGGCCGACTTTATTCGTAACTTTCTAACGCAAGAAGTCAAAATTGCAGTTTCCTATACGTTAGATGCGTATCATTTTGCCGCCACCAAATAGCCCCTAGCCCCTATCGGGTTTTTTCCCTGCCCACTCCTGTTCTAGTTATAGGGAACCTACCTCCGAGATGGAATTATAGGTTAGAATGAGGGTCCTCGCACCTGTCTCCTGAAATTACAATTTCCTACCCTATACCTATATGTCACATCAATCTAATAGAGGGAGTCGATTGAAAATATACCTCTATATGCATTACGACGCCAATAGATGGCACCTCCGTACCATTTAATATATCTATGATTTAATAATATTTAGAGGTTCGTTATAAATACAACTATCGAAGCATTATATCATACAAGTCTAGTTAGCCTAGTGGTTATGCTATAGGACTTGTAATCCGATGGTTGGCGGTTCGAATCCGTTCCATTTAAAAAAATTTTTCAGGGTACGAAGGGGTCGAAGTTGAGGATTCCAAGAACTTGAGGATACCGAGAACTTGAGGATTCCAAGAACTTGAGGATACCAAGAACTTGAGGATTCCAAGATGGCGTCCAAATGACGCCTGCGCAAAGGCGCAGTGCTCAAAAAAAGCCCAAACGAACCTTAGAATTCCTTATGGGAAATTACATGTAATTTGGCCGGAAGTTGCGCTGGAATCCCCCTAGCCCCTTTACTTACCGGCCGTTTTAATTCGGTTGAAAACAAACCGTAAATTCTCTAAGTGAGTTTTAAAAGAATTCGACGTGACCAAAATGTCATCTACATAAGGTAAGAGAAAGGAGTACTTTCCTTCAAAGACAATGTCCATACAACGTGACATCCCGGCCACGCTGGTAGACAAACCAAATGGCATAACCCTGAATTGGTAAATACGATTTTCGAATGCAAATCCGGTATACTTCCGATCCTCTTTTCGTAGTACGACTTGCCAGTATGAGCTGGTTAAATCAATAGTTGACAAACAAAGAGGTTCGTCAATTCTACATAATAATTCGGAAACTGGTACTGGACATTCGTACTCCATAACTACCCGTTCATTTAATTTGCGTGCGTCTAAACAAATTCGTACCGTACCGTCTTTTTTTATGACCGGTAGAATAGGGTTTACATAGGGTGAATTTGAACGTTCTATTATTTTCCACTCTAACATTTTATCGATTTTCTTTTGTACCGCTGGTCGGTGTGCAAAAGGGATTGGATACTGTTTAACAAAATACGCTAAACTCTGTAATTAACGCCCGTAACTCTAATTGCCGGCTATCTTCCAATATTGTTTTTGTTTCACGTTCTTCCTCCTGAACTTCGATATTACCTATCACCCTGCGAGACTCATCCCACCTTTCCGGTTCGCCTGAGTTTTCGCCCTTTTTAAACCAATCCCCAAATTCCACTGTGACCGCTTGGTCGCTTTGCGAAAATGTGAAACTACCGTTTGAGAAATTAATTATTCCGTTAACTTCCGTTAACCAATTCGAACCCAGAATTACAGGGTGCACTAAATTCCGAACCACTAAACAAATAGTTTCCATTATATTACCAGTAAGTTGAAATTGAATAAAAATTTGATGCTGCACCCGGCAACTACGTTCCCCTGTCACTCCTACTACATTAACTCCCGAAACAGGTAACATTGGTACTTTGTTAGGTAACAAAACCTCCTCAAAAAATTGTTCTGAGACGCATGATACTTCACACCCGCTATCTATTAATGTGGGTACCACCTTACCACATATACTGATATCAATTTTCGGAATTTTTCCCTTTTCTGCTTGTTTTTCCACACTGGCGGGAAATATTGTATTAATGCCGCACGCGCGCGAGTTTTCACCTATAGGTTCCAATGGTTGTGATACCGATACATTTTGATTAGATTCTTCTTCGCATTCTAACGTTTTAACGCCGTACGAAGCCGTTTCCCCTTTATTATACGCGCTGTTCGGTGGCCGATATATAGGTTTTGAATCCATATTATTCCGACCCCTATAATTATTATTAAAACGCGAAAAATTATCATTACTGTTACTTGAACTACTAGTAGCATTATTATTGCTGCCACCTTCTGGTAACCGCCAATTTTTGAAACCTGGGATGGCTCTTTCGGAACTGCCCCCGTCCCACCTTGACTTCTATTGCGATTATCGGTTGACAGTGACGAGCGGCGGGTTTCCGCGTCTTCTAATCTTTGTAGTAATTTATACGTATTGGAAATTGTCGGATTAGACATACTTAAAATAGTTTTTTTCTATATTTGGCGCAAAGTGCGCCGTTACCGCATACACTAACTCTGTGTCAGACCACTGCATTCGCAAATATTTGGCAGAATGTGCCAACTCCAAAAAATAAGAAGCCATGCTCACATGTGAATCGCGCTTGTACACTCCATTATCAATTTTGTATCTAATTTGTCGTTGAGCACCTTCCCCCCAATACTCCTCAATAAACGCTTCTCGAAATTCGGGGTATGTAATAACATCACGTGCAAAAACCTGTCGCCATTTATGTGCCGCCCCTTTCAAACACCGGAACATAGAACGTAACCGATCTCCTTCATTTACACCGAAATCATCAAAAACGAGCTCCAACTCGTCCAAAAAATCCATGGGAGATTCCTTTTCCGTCCTACCAAACGACGGTAAGTAAGATTGCATTCCAGTATCGAAATGGTAATCCATATTTGAAAAAACCCGACGATCAGAACCTTTCGGTATCGCTCCCGTCTCTCGACCTAGCTCCCTTCTCAATCCCCTTGTATCTGCATGGTTATAATTATTGCCTTCTTTGTAATTATCGATTATATTGAGATCAAAGTGATTACGGTCCTGAGCACCATTTTCCACCTCCTGGCCGCGACCGTTCAACAATAATTGTCTAGAATTATTATCGAAAGGGTTCATTTCTAAAGGCGCATTTGCCTGATATGACTCTATTTGATTAATTCTAACTCTATTTTCAGGAGTGACCGCTGCCGCCCCATCTGTACCAGTATTTTCAATATTGTTTAGATTTGTCTCATCACCTTCAGTTTCAGGGACATGAATAATTTTTTTACTTGTTTTAGAATTCGATCGCAAAATCATTTTTTTTTGAATTGTTGTGACCAACGCAATTTTTTTTCTTATAATTTGTTTCTTGTCCTCATTCTGGTATCTATTTTTGTAAAGCCCATAACGTTGGGCGCCAGTTGTAATGTTTTGATTAAGTCTTTGGCGCTCTGGAATTTTCTACGCGCGCGATAGTGGGATTTGTATAGGAATATTCCGGTAATTACGCGAATGTTCTGGACTTACATTACTTGCGTGTATAAATGGTTGCGGACCGAACATCGCGGCAGTTTTACTACCAAACGAGATCGAGTACGTATGAAACATAGAGCGCGGAAATATAAATTGCGAAGTGTGTGATATAAATAGTCGATACAAATTGTACAGTTTTTATAGTGTTTTAGTTTTGTTTAATAAATATTGATATAAATCGAACCCGAATTTATAAATCACGTTACAATATGTTTCCAAAAGTAATATGTCATTTAATAGGACCAACCGATGGATTTTATGTAAAAATGAAAAAGCAAAATATATACAAACATTTGTAAAACAACGTGTCATTGAAGTAGAGGAGCAACCAGCATTATCTGCATTAGAAGCTTCTTGTTCTTTTCATAGTAAATCATTGTGTCATTGTGCTTTATCTCATGTTTTTACTATTTATAACAACTATATAATGCATTGTGATTAAATAAAAGTTTATTGAGGCTGCTGTCTTTGTACAGGAAACATCTATTCAAGACACAACACCAATAACAATCGAAAACCAAAATGTTGCGTTTGCATTAAAAAGAATGCAAGGTTTTTTCCATTTAAATGTAACCGGTACAGTTACTAAAGAAGTACTAGGTCTAGTTGGTTGGAGAATTTTCGGTATATCGTGCGAAATGGCAATCGTCAACTATTAGGTGGAATATTCATAATTCAAATCAAAAATTGCACAAGCTTGCCGAAATGGCATTCCAAATTTGGGCTCCTCATGCGAACTTGACGTTTATACATGATGCAAATAATCCAAATATTTTAATTTCAATGGCCGATGGTTATCACAAATTCTTGTCGCATAACGTAAAGTGCCCTCATAATTTAGTGGGTGATGTAATGGCTCATGGATGTTTCCCTCAAAGAGAAGTAAATTTTTAGAAATTCATTTGAGAACTAATTATAATTGGTATCTAGACATGATCCCATAAAGGATTTCTCACAAAAACACTGCTAATAAATGAATCTACGTCCATTTTCAATTGCGCGTTTACTAATTATAAGAGCGGCGAAAACAAACTTTCTCGATAGCGCCGCTATCCTCTCCGTTAACCGCTCTACAGTTGCTCGTCGCTCTCAACTCTTTGCTCGTCACTATGTCCTAACTAAAAGCTGATCGTTGGTTTGTTTTCGCCGGGCTCCTCCCCGCTTTCATCGCCGCTCTACTATGTGCTTAGCATAAGTCTCACACCCCTTTTATGGGTGACTTATCGCGCGGCGGCGATCCCACGAGGGACCCCGTAGACTTCGTCGTCGTCGACTAGGCGGCGGTTACCGGACACAAATGGAAAGGTGCGGCCCCCATCGGCATCCGGCGAAGAGCTCCAATCTGTCAATCAATATCTTGTGTGGCGAGTACCCACATTTCTTTCTTTCTTTCTTTAGCTCTCTCATATCTCACCTGATTATTGCGACCCTTTTTCGTTACACTGAGTCGGAGACGTGGTTTAAAGGCAAACAAATCGTACGTTCCTGTGTAATGCTACCAAGCCGGTGCATTTAGAGGTCGCTTCAGACTTATCGGCTGAAGCGTTTATAGCGGCTTTTAGAAGATTCGATTTCCTGTGAATCTGTAACAGATATTATAGCCAGATGCCCGTTGGTCGAAACTAGTCGCTGTTTTTACAATTGTCCTATTAAATTAGTATGGGTAAGGTTTTGTGTCTTTTTGGGATTTAACGACTCTATTATATACAACCCCATTTTGAGTAACTTCACACCATGGATTAGAAAATCAATGATTGCAAAATGTACTAACCTGTTAACCGCATCTAAATCCCCAACATCTGAGGTTGATTCGTGGATGATCTTTTTTGAAATTCGCTTTTCAGGGAGAATGGATTCTGGATCTGAGGTCTTTCGCTGCCTTGGCGTTTGCCGTCCCAAAATTGTCATACGGACGATGGCTCAGTAATTTTACCTTGTATTCTGGCCAGTTTTCAAAAGGAATTTCTTCATGTTTTATGGCCGTTTCAATTAAATGTTTATGTGAATATTAATTAATTAATTGGATGTGACATCCGAATGTTTGTACACTTACACTAATGTTCCAACCACAGCAGGTTATTCTTAAACAAATCATATGAAACTTCGCACGGGAAGGCTGTTAAAGAGATGCTGGGCCTGCCAAATCGCTCCGTTTTGGGAAGTACTGAGACGGCAAAAGTTCGTGTGAATGTTTATCTTTGTAGGAGTGTTATATTTGTGTTCACCGCAATTTAAAGAGAATTGATTAATATTGTTTTTTATAAAGCATACGGATTATGGATAGACAGGGGAAGGTTAATATGTTTAATTCGATAAATGCTTTCCGACAGTCTTCCCTATAACCCAGACTGTGCATGACACGCCACTAGCAGCAATGTCCCCAGACCAAAACTGCGTACTGAAGTACACTCTGCACCAGCGAATAGTAGGCAACTTGACTACATGAGAAGAGACGTGATTCACAAGTCTACGTACGAGAAACAGTCCTTTACAAAGTTGTTTACTAATAGTCGCACAATGTTTTTTGATTTGTTCATTGTCATATATTCACTTTTAGTTTACTACATTGACTTGACACCATGTATTATTTAGATGCATGCAGTCATTCGCGATCTTGAAGGCCGTTTTGATATCTAAGATAAATCGCTAAAAACAGTAGAGGCCCCAAGATTGATCCTTGCGGAACACCACTTTTTATAGGTGATCTTCTCGAAAGAACATTATTTAAAGAAACTCTCTGCGTCCTGTTAGCTAGGTACGATGCTAGTATTGATGGAAGGTACACAGAGAACAAAATTCGGTTAACGGTAATATAATCTATACGTACATGTTTTTCAAGTGTTTAATATGGAAGCCTTGCATACTTGTGGGACTATTAAACTTACCGTCGATTCGTGAATCCTTATAGCCAACATTAAAGATCGGTACGAGTCCCCTATTGCCAAATAGTAATCACCAACCTATACAAAAATGATAGGATTATGCTTACTGCATATAATTAATAATTCTACAAAATTGGTTAGTTACCTGAAATAGTTTTAGTTTGTTTTTAATTTGTCAAAAAAATAAAAATAAGCACTTGCCTTAATCAATTTTACAATCAAAAGAAGATCATTTCAATCATTTACAACATAATTTCGCAGCGTTTATCACCAAAGCTTCCTTCTTTCTTGGATAGTTAGTTGATGTTGTATAACGTACCACGAACAGGACTTTGTGTTTATACAAGGCCTCGTGAGTAACGGGAACATCAGTCATTTAGGGTGTTAACAGGAAGGAATTGACGTATGGAATCCGAAGGTATAAATGGGAGATGCAGGGATGTGCTAGATATAGAGTGTGTGAAGATAAAGACACAATAAGTGGTATGGTATCGGTACATCAGAATTATGTTGGAAATGCAAGTACTTTCTTTATGTAGTTTGACACTTCGTTTTACATTGCTTGAGCAAATATATGTATAAAAAGTGATCGTTATGTGTGTTCGTTGATACCGTAATCCTGGTTGAAAGTCACACCACCTCTCGTAAATGCGAGCTACAACCCCAGAGTGTGACAATAATGTCAGATTCAGCGATACCTATGACAAAGTGTGAATGGCTGTTTACAAGCATTTTTCAGTATGTACCGCCGGTAAGTAATATTTAAAGTAATTGTAACCCTACATATAGAATAGTAATATTATTTACAAGGATATACACTTATACAGTCATGCGCCCGTGCGCACACAATCTGATATATAATAAAACTCGTGACGAACTGATCTATGTGATACCCTTTTATGGGGATCATTTCATTTGGATATTTACGACGAAATCACCCTGCACAATAATATGGTGCCGGGTAGGATCGTGAGTAAGACAAAAATTTTTGTTTCAATACTTACGTTTTGCTTTTATTACAGACGACATATGGCACCAATTAGAAATTGTTTTACTTAAAACTGTTTGTTATTATCATGTTATTAATAGTTTATTATTTTACGAGCATGTTATGACGCTTATTATTCACGAGATGACGAGTGAATAAGAACAATAACATGCCAGTGTAATACTATACTTTATCTACAACTATTACTTCAATTAGATTAATATTTTATTACCATTTACATTACAATAAATACACAAAAATAACTGAAATGAAAACAAAGTCAGCAGGATTTAATTCTAAAGGAAAGATTTTTTCAGTGACAGTTAAGTCCCACAGTCCCTTGCATTTTGGTTGGATTCTGAAAAGTGGACGTTGTGACGAGTTTTTCTTTCAGGGATTCTACATATGTACCTTCATTTTCATAGGGAATGTTTTCTCTCACACTTACGTCAAATTGGAGAACTCTAGTGAGTGCTGTCAATTTATTTCTATGCTTTGTCAATCAACTTTCCTTTAGCAACAAATAGGGTTGACAAAATAAGTGGTTCTCTTTTCACAAACCGGAAAAAGTGCAACAATTTTATTTGCAGTAATAGATAACGATTCGTTATTCAATTTAAACGATTTTTTGTAAGTGATATATATACAGCGTTCGAACGTGTATTTATTGAACCTGCCTCGTATTTTCAGACCATATAGGGTAAAACAGGGAGAGTTGGCGCACTTCTTCTAATTATCATATAAAATATTAGTTTTTCATAGGAAAAAGTTTTTCTTAAAAAATATGCATAAAATAGGTGTAATAGATCAGTTAAGTAGCAAGATAAAACTGATTCTCATATATTTAAAAACTAAAAAAAATTAACAAAATTTTCAGCAAAAAACCATCTCACCCCATATATGTGGGTGAGATGGCTCGTAGTAAAAAATCGTAATAACATATTTTAGATTCTCGATACATGTAATAATAAGAGGATTTTATGCAAGCGACTTTCTTCCACATTTCAAGCAATAATCTGGGAATGTAGAACAATCTTCATGTAACCATCTTTTACATAAAATACACATTATCCAATCTGTTGTACTTTTTGTTTCTTTGTAAATCTCTCCGCAACCTACACACTCAGCTGCATCATCATCACTGTTTGAGTCGGTTTGTAATTCCACTTCAACCTCGCTTTCTGAAGAAGGTTCACTGATGTCTCTGTTCTTCAGCTTCTGGACTTTCTTAACTGGCATTTTGACTTTCTTCTTTTCTAGTCTTTCATTTCGCCGTTCTGCTACAGTTTTTCTTTTTACTATACTTTTTGGAGACGTTAAGACCTCGGCTAGCTGCCTACTACGTTTTCGGACCGAAGTAATTTTCGATGTGCTAGGTACTGGACAAATGTTGTTTAATATTTTTCCCGGTATCTCTTTTTCTTTGTTAATATCTTCTGTCTAGAATGTCACATTGCTTTCTTTGGTCTGGAGAGTCTCATTATTGTCTGTTTTCTGGGGAGTCTCATTACTTTCCGTTGCTTGGGAAGTCTCATCATTTTCTGGTGTCTGGAGTGTTGGCACCCCAATAGGTTCTTCTGTGTTAAGGTACGCATATTCTGGAATTATAGCAGGATTAAGAGGGAAGATTCCTGTCGCGCGAAATGCTGATGTAGCATTACCCACTGTCGCAGACTTCGACCATGCTTCACCTAATAATTTTCCGAATTGTAATCTATTTATTACTCTGTTTGGGTTAGCTCGCATAAACAAATTGCATTCGGCATAGTAGTGCGACTTCAGGGATTTAAAAAATGCTCGATCCAACGGTTGCAAGAACTGCGTAGTGTGGCTCGGTAGACATAAAAGTATGATGTTATTACTTTCAGCAAATTCCAATACTTCAACAGAGCTACAGTGTGATGTATGGTCATCCAAAATTAGGATCACAGTCCCTTGTGGTTTGCGTTGCATGAAGTGATTCTGCAACCAGTCTAAAAAAATTGTAACATTGACGTAAGCTGATTTTTGTGACATATACACTACTGAGCCGGGAGGCATGCCATCTTCATACTCTCTTTTCTTATTTTTACCCTTAAAAATGCATGCTGGGGGGATAAATGTGCCTTCAGCATTGCAACATGATATTAGTGTTATTGTCTCCCCCTTCTCGCCAGATGTTACGGCCGCTACATTTTTCGAGCCTTTTTCAGCAATAACGTAACCCGGTCTATTGTTTAGCTGTAATCCTGTCTTGTCCATGTTGAAAATACTTCCTGGTTTATCTAGTAGGTTGTTTTCTCGGAAAGTGTTTTCCAACAATTCAAAATAATCACCAACATCTTTTCTATTCATTCCTCGTGCCCTTGCTAATGAAACTCCCTCTGATTTACGAACGGATAAATCGTGATTGCGTTGTAAAAAAGATCTCAGCCAGTCAGAACCGGCTTTTCCAGTTTGCTGGTTGAATTTGTGTCGTAAGCCAAGTTGTTCTGCAAGTCGAAAAGCCATTTCGCGTACAGTTGTTCTTGTCGGTGCAAAACCATTTTTCTGTAACTTTTTGATGTGGACAACCATTTTTCGCTCGTTTTCTTCACCAAAAAACGCGGACGGCCCCAAGCCTCGCTTCACAACATTCCCTGATTTTAGTCTTCTACTTAATGTAGTGCAAGGTATTCTAAACTGTCTGGCAGCTTCGTTAACCCCGATGGTCCCGTTTCTTAAAGATTGTATGGCGAAAACTAATTGTTCTTCGGACCATTCTGCTCTTGTACAACTCCCCTTTCGTTTGTAACGAGTTGGCATTTCTAGATAAAGAGAAACAATCATGTATTCAATACTACATAACTTAATTGTGCCTGACTATGTTTATCTTATAAGCGAAACGCGTTGCAAACAAATAATTTTTAAAAATTATCAAGCTAAGTAATTTTATTTGCACTATTTTCAATCATCGCAGTTATGGTAAAGCATTATTAAATAAAACCTATTACAATCAGAAAGTATGAATAATAGTATATTATATACCGCGGGACTGAAGTAGTACTTTTAATCCCGAAGGTAAAGTTTATGGCCCGACCGAAGGGAGGGCCATAATTTACCTGAGGGATTAAGACCACTACTTCAGTCGCAAGGTATATACGATATTTTTCGTACTTCCGAAACTGAAACACTTAATATGTATGGAGTTAGAGAACGCGTTCTTTCAAAAAATCGCTGCTTAACAAGTTACCATAGGAACGTTGCGTTGGTACGACAATCCCTATGCTATGGTAACAAAAATAATTTGGAAACTGTCATTGCTAGTGTCATAATTTTCGTGATGCGTGACAAAGGTGTATTTGATATTGATAAAGCAGCCAATGTAGGTAAAGAATTGATACCACCGAAATCCAAAAAACTATATGAGCAGCAGTACGATGCGTTTAAGAAGTGGTGCCGCATACAAAATGTGGAACAACCTACTGAAATTGCCTTGTTAGTAATTTCATCCTTCCGGGATTTTCGTCCAAATTTAATCCCGGCGGGACAAAAAGTGACACTTCAGTACTTGTCATAATGGAGTGAAGTTGTTACTTTAGTCCCGGAAGTACGAAAAGATTTTAATAATTAAAAAATTGCGCCATCTCTCCCTTATAAAATTATGCCGACTCACCCGACACTGACGGGCGAGATGGCGCACCATTTTATGCAACAGCTATTGTAACGAAAAGCACAATTGAAGATTAGAATGGTGTATTGCATGTTACTTTACTTATAACTGTGAATAAAATGATAAACTAGTACCACATCATCTTAAATCGATATATTTTCTCAACGCATAAAAAATTTATTGCACAACAAATAAACAAATAAATTACTTACTTGAAATTCGACAAAACACACAGCAGCCACCTTAAATAGCATACTAAAGGCGAACTCATTCCGTTTAGCGCACATTACCTGTCATCTGTTGTTTGCTAACGAAACTATAGAAGTGCGCCATCTCAACCGCCGCGCCGTCTCACCCAATCTTACCCTACTATAAAAAAGTGGAAACACTCCTTCCGGCAGATTGTATGATAAATATCAAAACCACTCAAAAAGACTGCGAAAATTAGGGATACTCTCACCACCCGTGTCCAGTCGGTCACCTTCGACCGTAGTTACACCAGACACCTCGATGAACCTACCTACTACCAATCTCTTTCAGACTTAAACGGTATCTTAAAGTAATATTGCTCTCCTATATAGTACTAAAAATACACTTTTTAGGCTATCATCACAAAAACGTTGATTTTATGGTCGCTTTTGCGGCCATAAAGTTTCACTTTATTTTACGCTTCTGTCAAACTTTACTTTATTATACACATCTGTCAAACTGTACTTATTTGAAACTGATGTTTGAGAAACAGTAATCTGTTTGATACAAAGCGTCTATCTGGTCTCGCCCCATCAAGGATTGGGCCATCCACGTGCGTTTTTTTTCATTTTCGGACTTGTAGGAATGTTTCACACCATTTTGCATAATCACAATGTTCACATTTAAAATTATAGTTTGACGTTTCAATATTTGCTGCTTGCAGACCTTTTTGAAGTGTAGAACCAAAACGTGAGGAAGATGTTGTTGCTTACATTATTATACGAAGAATCACCAGCAATTAACCGAAAACACAAGTAGCTACCTATACCTACCATCAAAGTAGGTAATCAGGTTTCTAATAATTGTACAGCATGTTAACTATAAGGTCTTGGAAGCCACAGTTACGAAGGACGTATTGCATTTGACATTATTAAAATCTTGTGCAGCGGAGGAAGTTGCGATTGTACTTTTACTCTCAAACGCCTACTCTTATATCATATATGACATAGGGTCGCAACGCTTGCAGCTTCCAAAATTTCATTTTGGGTAGGTATCTGAACTGTCGCTATCACCCATTTTGATACGCACAAAACACACGGAAAGATGCTAATTATAATTTATTACATATGACAGGAAATGCTTTGTTTTTAATTGTCTAAGATAACTATGATTTTCAGAAAAAATATGTTCATGAGCAAATTTTTGAATTCTTTTTTGATGATCGCCTAAAAAATGTTGTGTGCACCTTGGCCAAAAGTGATTTGTTAGGCCTCATCTGAATTGCGGCCTCGGCTACCGCCTCGGCCACAAACAGCAGCTTCGGCCAAAAAAGATCACTTTTACGGCCTTGGTACACAAATAACTATTTATATCAACATGGGTGGTCACTATAAACTATAATATCGATTGTTACTTTAATGGGATGAACATACCAACTCGTATGTTAGAGAATTCCGTTTAATTTTGAATACATATAACATTTATGAAATAAAAAACTAAAGTTTGATATACCTATTGAATTATTTACCTACAGCAGAACGAAAACTAAGTTATGGCTAAAATTAAACAACAACCCCTGGAGTGATGTGCAAACAAAATGGAGCGGGACGTTTAAGTTGAGAAGAAAGGAAATTTTAGATAAAACTACTAATACAGAATATGTTTTAAATTGCTGGCCTTTATACAGACACAATAGCGGATTTAATTTGGTATAAAGAAACAATATTTATACAACAACGATTATCTGAAGATATTTTGAATTCCAAATCAATTTTTTCGTCTAATTCAAAATTATCTTCTCTTTTTATTATAACATCTATATTCTTTGGTTTTTTTTTACATATTGTAATATAAAAGCATATAAATAATATCCAGAAAGAAACATTATGTGAGGATATAATATTTATTAATATTTGAAATAATATTATTTATTTTACTATTATTGTTTATTTCTAATATAAAACTCCTTATTTTCATACTTTAAATCCACAAATGTAAATAAATATTTTTTTAAATCATTATAATTAGATATTGTGTCATTATATTCTTGATGATAAAAATTATCATTTTCTGATTTTATAGAATATATGAAACGTAATTGTGTATTTTCTCTAAACACATGTAAATCGATTTTTGTTGTTAATATATGTATTTTGTGATTCTTTTATAAGATCTCCAATTACATGTTTTAAATATTTTAAAGTTTTTTGATTTAATAAAATATTGTTAAATATTACGTGAAAAGATATTTTCAAAGGATTATTTGATTTTGTAATTTTTATATCTTTTTTTATATCATCAGATTCTATTTTTTTATCAATTATTATATCTTCTCTATTTATTAAAAATTCCACAACTTCTTGAATAGTTTTTTTTATTTCATTATCAAAATTTAAATTATCAAAATCAATATTTTCATCTTTTAAAGATAAATCAATATCTAAAAATAATTTAAAATAAGAATCTATGTTATTAATTATAAATTCATGATATTCTAGATTTTTTGTATTATTTCTTACTAATTCTATTTCATTATATAAATCTTTTAATGTTATTTTTTTTATTTTACTATTTATATTATCATTTTGTACATCAAATATTATATTTTGTTTATTCTCTTTAGATACACATAATCCTATTTGTAAAAAAACATAATTATCTTGATTATCAATATTATTCATTTTTATTTTATTTTAGTCTAATCTAATAAAATTTCAAATAATTTACGATAATTTAAATAATGAGTTCTAATATTTTAAATATATATTCTATGAATGAAAAAGGTGTTTTATTATATAATTTAGTATCTGAAAGTTTTTTCGAAAAACTTTCAAAAATACAATCATCAGCTAATGTTAATTGTTTAATACGATTAAAAAAAATTGAAGCTAATTTATCAAAAAATTGTAGAATCTTAATAGAAAATAAATGTACATCAAATACACCTTCATCATTCAGTCTTCTCATAGAATCAATTAAAGAAGTGTTGTTAAATGTAGATAAAGAAACTCGTAATCATATTGAAAATACTCTAGGAATTAGTGTTTTTGAAATAGATGTAAATTCTAATAAAGGTTTTATTAAAACATGTAAAGCATATGCAGAATTAACTCAAAGTATAGATGTAGATATCTTAAAAATAGAAAATTGTTTTTCAACAGTTCCCATATATTTTAAATTTATAAATAGTGGAGAAGCAACTTCTAATTGTGGATTAAGTGAATTTTCAAAATCTTTAACTACATTATTATCTGATAACGAATATAATAATCCAAAAGAATATTATCTATATAAATTTTTAAATATAACTCTTGAAAATTATATTATTTTGATTATAATTTTTTTATTAATAACTATTGTTTTGTATATCATTATATTTATTATTAATTATAAAAAAATTACAAATATATACCATTCTAGAAATGATTTACTAATACCAAATACTAGTTTTATTAACTTAAGAAAAGATCCTAGATTTATATTAAATAGAAAATTTTTGAAAAAATATTAATATTATGTAATATACAATGGAAACAAGCAATAAAGTTTGTTTAGTATTTAATAAAAATACAAAAAATAAAAAAGTAGAAGATGAAAATGAAAAAATAATAATATAGATAGAATTTTGGAAAAAATATTTTTCAAAAAAAAATATGATATATAATGAAGATAACAGATTAATAGAAATAGATAAATGGAGAAACTCTCCTAACATTATGTTCAACGATCTTCAAGACACATATATATACCTGCTATCGTTGGTGCGTTCGGTTTCGAGCTCGCGGAGTGGAGCGGGATCCGTTTAGATATTTCAGATTCGTCTGCGAGTAAACGAACGCTTTCTGCATATTTAGCGGTGTATGGAAACGTAATCAAAGTTTAAGGTTAGGTTACTTTTTGTTTATTTTTTCATTACACCTCTTCATTTAAAAATGGGAGATATTAAACTGAAAATTAATAATGGGGAAGAGATTACGCTTCAACTTCCGGATAAGGAATTTTTAACGAGCATTTACAAAGGTAATTAGACAATTAGGGAGTGACCATTACGCGAAAAGCTCGTTTTCGCCACCTTTACCAAATTTTCATCTATCAGTTATTCGTAATGCCTAATTTCATTTTTCAGATCCATCTATGTTAGTAAATGTTGCTCAAGAGTTTGTAACATATCCAGTAGAAACTGTCGAGATTGTAAAAGAATTTGAAGAAAATGGGAACAATGAGGCTGACCTACCTATGGAAGATCGAAGAATGTGGACAGATGATAGCACACGAATTTTAATTGAACTGTACCAGAAGTTCAATGAAGAATTTAATTCTGGAATAAAAAAATTTGTGTGGAATAAAATTGGAAGTCATATATCACAAGTTGTCGGAATGACAATTACAGGAGTGCAATGCGATACTAAGTGGAAAGGGTTGGTAAAACAATATAAAAGCATTAAAAAGCACAATGACACATCAGGAAATGATACAAAATATTGGAAGTTTTATGCATGCATGGATGAAATTTTGTTTAATAAGCCTGAAATAAATGCAGTAGCCACTTGCAGTAGTTCCAGAGGGTTGAAAGGTAATTCTGTGCATACCTCTTCATGTCTTTATACATAATTTTGTAGTTGCGCCAGAGTTCTTAGAGACCAACTTACAACATGAAACTACGAAGAACAACACACCTTCTCCATCTACATCTAGGTGCAGTACTCCTGTATCTAATAGGAATAAACCGTTGAAAAGGAAAGTAAGTGAAAACGCTTATGAAAGAAGACACAAAGAAAAATTGGAACGCCAGGACCGATTTTTAAATATATTTGAAAAACTTGTGGACAAATTGGGTACTGACGCAAATCACTGCAACAATTGTGTTGGTGATAAAGAAAATTAAAATGTAACCAAATGTTTTGAATTGTACGTTTTTCATTTTTTTATAGTAAGGGTTAATTTTAGTTTTTTTTTTTAAATAACTTAACATACTTTATTTGGTGAAAAAAGAATAAACAGTACAACAGCATACAATATTTTTATTCATCTAAAGGCAAATTTAATAAAATGTTTCTTCGTTTTTGCTCCGCATTATTGTCTACACCTTCATTAGCACCTATTTCATTTACATCATTCCTCTGTACTTCCCTAATTTCTTCATTAAGGTCAATTATATCGTCAGGTAGGTCATTACTTAAAAGACATACATTGTGCAAAATTGCTGCAGTGACAATAAATAATGAAATAAAATCTAACCTTACGGTTTCTATAAATTTCAACCTTCTAAAGCGGCCTTTAAGTAATACAAATGCATTTTCGATTTCCACTCTGCAACTGTTTAATTTCTTATTAAAATTTATTTCTCGTCTGTTTATATTACCACAATTTTTAAAACCGATTAGCATATTGGTTGATAATTTATAGACAAGGTCACCTATTAAATGACCATTATTGTAAAAGGTCACTGATTGCGTTCTGATAAGTTCAGCCAAATCTGACTTCAGAAATAGATTGTAGTCATGAAGTGACCCCGGCTCCCCTGCATATATGTCGATGAATAATTTTTTTTCATTACAAACGCCTTGTAGTAAAACGGAGTGGAATTTTTTACGATTGACGTATGAATTGGGATGGTCTTTTGGAGCTATTATTTTCACATGGCATCCATCAATACAACCAATGATACCTACATCATAAGAAAATATTGCAAAAACATCTCGAGTAGAACAATACGAGTATCACCTGGTATAGAGCTTCTTCTTTGGAAAGTTCTCATCGTTTCTAGAGCTTCATTTTCATAAGGCCATCGTATAATACCATACAATCTATTCACCTCTAATAATCTATGTGCAGTTCTTTGCAGGACATCCCAACATGTCGAGTAGTTAAACAAGGAGAGTTCTGGCACAATGTAAATCTCCATAAGCGCAATGCTAAAGTATGGGTTCATTTCAGTGACAAAAACTCACTTTTTGGATCGGTCTTGATAGCGGTGTTTTTTTCGAGGTTTGAGGGGTTGTATATGTGTGTAGGGGTAGTGGATCTGTTTTAGGGGGGTTGTGTGTTAAGGGGTAGTAGGTAAAAACAAATTTCTAATTTTAGAATCATGCTTAGTAACACAAAAGCGGCGTACTTCATAAAATGTATATGGATCGGTCTTGATTGCGGTGTTATTTACGGGGTTGTATATGTGTGTAGGGGTAGTAGATGTCTTTTAGGGGGGTGGTAGATAAGGGGTAGTAGGTAAAAACAAAAATTTCTAATTTTAGAATCATGCAGCGGCGTACTTCATAAAATGTATATTTACAACTTAGTAGTAGTCGTTTGCGGTTGAGATTTATTTTTAGATGTTATTGCGGTTTTATATATATAGTTATTAGAAATTGCTGCGGTTGGTGATAAGACAAATATGTGCATTGTGGTTTTACCTATGGCTATACTCGTAGTGTTATCGATGCAGTAAAAATATTAAATCTGCTGTTTTCAATATACAATCAATATTTTTCGAGATTGAGGTCTTCAGATAGAAAAAAAATGTTTAATGTTGAAGTAAATATTTTCAACATTGAGGTTTTACAACAGAAGGAAAACACAACGTGATCAAATGAAATGGGTATAAATATGCGTTTCAGTTTAGTTGATATCATTCCAATTTCCAATTTAGTTTGCATCAAGATGGTCGTTGTAATAGATGTACAAGGGTTCTGCACCTCTACCTTCCAACCGAAGGAACTTGCCATATATAATGGGAAGCAAGTGGCACACTATGTCTTCAAGCCACCTTGCCCATGGGATGATTTGGAGGTAGAACATCAACGACAGGCGAGATGGCTGTTATACAATTACCATGGGCTAAGGTGGGAGGATGGGCACATTCCACCACACCTGTTTCCCGACCTTCTGAAGAGAGCAGTCAAGCCTTGGGACCTAGTCTATGTCAAAGGTCGGGAAAAGGCAGAGATCATCAGGAAGATCTTATGCCAGGAGGTGGTGGAAGTAGATGAAGAGCCAGCCCTTCCAGATTTGGATGCGACTTGCTATAACCACCGTCACATAGGTTCTCGTTGCGCACTGTCGCAAGTGTATTACATCTATAAAAGTATAAATAATTAGGTGGGTTTGTAGATGTGTTTAGGGGTGGTTGTCGAGAGTGTTGGATAGAAAAAAGGGTGTAAACCTCCACAAGCGCAATGTATTTCTTGTAGGCGGCGGGTCTACGGTGTTTTTTGTTGGGTTGTATTGTAGATTATGTATGGGGGTTGTAGGTATGTAGAGACTGGTTGTGTGTGGTAAGAGTAGTAAGAAAAATTGGTCGGCGCGCGATTTCTATTTTTTAGCCGAATCTTGATGATAAGAAAACACATGCTTTGCCGCTTAGTAACACGCCGCGCCCTCGTTATGAGATTTATTTGAGATGTAATATATTTAGGAATAAAATTTGTATTTAGTGCTGATGTATGAACGTCCCACCCGTTTATTCATACTGAATTTACAGGTTTATTTAATAAAATGTATATTTATAACTTTGTAATTTGTGGCCTAGATTTTATTCTAGATGTTGGTTTAGTAACATTAGAAAAAAACAATCTTGATGATAAGAAAACACATGCTTTGCGGTTTTACTCTATTCATTGAATGGTTGTAGTGTTATCGATATAGTAAAAATATTTTCGACCTACCGATACAAGACCAATTATTTTTTGAAATTGAGATCTTTAGATAGAAAGAAATAGTGGGGATGAGGGTACGTAGCATCATATATTATCATGCAATAATTGATGTGTAATTATTTTCATTTTACAGAGTGTGCGAAGACGTGAAGGAAGCAACACACTCATCAGCATCATAATAATCATCAATACATTGCTTAAATTGTACAAGTTATAATTATGACACAAATAAATGAAGGTAATAAAAACGTTGTTATTATTGATGTGCAGGGCTTTAATACAAAGGTAGGTTTTGTGCCTAAAGAGTTAGCAACTTATAATGGAAAACAGTTTGCACATTTCTTGTTTAAACCTCCATATCCATGGCACATGTTAGAAATAGATTATCAAAAACAGGCAAACTGGCTTACTGCTAATCATCATTGTTTAAGGTGGGGTGATGGTTTTACACCTACATACATGTTTTCCAATATACTAGTTCAATTGGTTGCACATGCAGATGATGTTTATGTAAAAGGTCGAGAGAAAGCAAAATATATACAAAAACTTCTAAAACAACAACGTGTCATTGAAGTAGAGGAACAGCCTGCATTATCTGCATTAGAAGCTTCTTATCCTTTTCATAGTAAATCATTGTGTCATTGTGCTCTATCTCATGTTTTTACTATTTATAACAACTATATAATGCAATGTGTCTGAATAAAAAGTTTATTAAAGCTGCTGTATTTGTACAGGAAACATCTATTCAAGATGTTGAAGATACTTATTATTATAACTGTGCTCCTTATCACTAACATTAATTGCACAGCTGAGAATGGTCATACTGAAGATTGCGCTAACGAAAAAATTGTAAAATATTTAATAAAATTTGGCTATCTGGATGGTGAACCTGATCAATATTTAAAGTCTGCAACAGCACCAGTAACATTCGAAAACCAAAACGTTGCGTTTGCATTAAAAAGAATGCAAGGTTTTTTCCGTATGAATGTAACCGGTACAGTTACTAAGGAAGTACTAGATCTAATGACTCTTCCTCGATGTGGTGTGAAAGATGTGGTTGGAGAATTTTCAGTACATCGTGCGAAATGGCCATCGTCGACTATTAGATGGAATTTTCATAACGCAAATCAAAACTTGCACAAACTAGCCGAAGTGGCATTTCAAATTTGGGCTCGTCATGCAAACTTAACGTTTATACATGACCCAAATAATCCAAATATTTTAATTTCAATGCGCGACGGTTATCACACATACTTGACACATAACGTAAGGTGTCCTCATAATTTAGTGGGTGATGTAATGGCTCATGGTTTTTTACCTGAAAGAGGAGTAAATCGTTTAGAAATTCATTTGAGAACTGATTATGATTGGTATTTAGGAACGGACATGGTGCCATCAAATTTAAGCAACTTACTTTTTGTATTAGTACACGAAATTGGACATACATTAGGGATTCAACATTCTGGTGACCCAGCAGCAATTATGGGCGCTGTGTATTATCATAATCTTCATCGTGATAATTCCAATTTAGATTTAACAATGGATGATATGCTGGCTATACAAAATTTGTATGGACCTAAAGATTATTCTAGTCGATTACCTTCGAAATCTATTACTTCTACTACTACTACCAGTAGTACTAGTAGTCGTCGTAGTATTTCTCATACGCAGTATGATCATCATCAGCAACATCAAACACAAAAAGCTGCAAGTGTTGATAAAAAACCAGATTTATGTGCCAAAATGAAATTTATTAATACATTTTTGGTGGTGAATGAGAGGCTCTACGTGTTCTACAAAAAATATTTATGGATAATTGCATTAAATAAAAAAGTGTATACAGATCCAATATTAATAACGAATTGGTTAACATGGTTACCGAAGACCTTCAATCAAATTGATGCAATCTATCAACGACCTAGCGGTGAAATTGTTTTATTTATAAATAACGACATCTATATGATGGAATTTCCATCCTTAAGACTGGTACACGGGTATCCCAGAGTGAATACCGTATTAGGTCTGAATGCTGCAGCAAAAATCCACGGTGCACTTAATACTTATACAGGGCGAACATATATTTTTTACAATAAAGACTACGTTATGGAACTTGGTGAATGTACAATGATGGCTAAAAGTCACGGCATACACGTGAAAACTTTCCCAGGGTCACCGGCCAGCTTTGATTCGGTATTACGATTTACAAATGGTCTCATATATTTTTTCGATAAACAGCATGTCTATGAATATGATGAATTTAGCGCTCGATTAGTGAGATCGTTTAAAAAGGATCTTGGTGTTTTTGGTCTATCTTGCCCTCAGGAGACAATTTTGCAACAACTTAAAAACCTTTTAACAAGTTTATTGAGTAAGTCGGATTCAGATGTAAATCTTATAGATGATGATGGCGCCTTCGATAGTGACGATGACTACATTAGCGAATAAAAATTGTAGATGTCTCAGACTGATAAAAGTTGAAAACAAACTCTCAAAATGTAGTTTCGTGTTGAACGTCAGACTAAACGTTGTTGATCTAAAAATGGATAATATAAATCGTGCAATAAAAAATTTTACAACTCTTGAGAATATGTCAAAAGAAGAAATTCTTGACATACCAATTGAATATTTGAAAAAACATGCTCAAACACAGTTGGGACAATATTTTGATAAGTTACCTGACGAATATAAACGTCAACTTTTTAATTATCAATTTTGCTATAAACATTATTGGAATAATAGATATGAAATACAAATTGATGGTCCTGCGTCACAAATGATTAATTGTCAAGAGTGTATTCGAGAGAGGGTGGGAGAGGTTCAAAAGAAATCAAAACATTTAAGTAAACTTCAGTATTAAAAGTGCAGTGCATGAACAATGTCACATCAACAAGTTTTTCCACAAGAAAAAATTAACGAATTCTTAAATAGATCAAAATCGCGAAAAGTGCCACTATTTATGGATGTTGAAGAAGAATCATCATCATCACCAACACCTCTAACACCACCACCACAATCATCACCAAAATCAACAGTTTCAACCGTTAGCGATGGGGGTATCACAAAAACGTGTTGGAATAATATTTATGGTCTTGATTTCAACGAAATATCAACACAAACATCAGAAGTAGAAGATAATTATACGTTTATGAACCATACAGATGAATTAATTTCACCTCTCATTTATAAATATGACAGTAATGGAAACG